CATATTTAGCTGAAGAATGTGTGTGCATCTGTCCAAGGTTCACCAGGGCAAGCAAAAAAAAACCCAAAGAAACCCTTGTTAAAACATCTTATTCATGTTAGTACTCAGAGTCACAAATGAAGAGACAAATTGCTTTTGTTTGATATTTTCAACAAAAAGCATTATACCTCTATATGAAAGAGTATCAAAACAAGCATTCATATTGAATCAACTCTAGATATTAAATTTGCATTCCTAAGTTCCAAGAAGTTACATTGTGAGCAATGTGACCACCCAACATATAAATAAACTGAAGGAACAATATGTGTCAGATAAATATAAAAGAAAGTAATTGACTTTACAACAACAATAGAACAAATTAATGATCTGAATGTGTTTACTCAGCTTTGCAGTTGATTTGGCTATGGCTTTTTCTGTTCAGTTACATGATGTCATGCTCACTCCTCAGTAGATTTCCTCCAGGATAAAAACTGCTGGTATTGTTGTTATTTTCATTGATCATGGTATTTGAAGTGTCCACTTTCCCTCATTTTCTCCTTATAAAACCCCCACTCCATGTGCCTGATACTCTGACCTGTAAAACTTGCCATAATCACTCCCTGAAAACTTCTTGCTAAGTTTATTTCATGAGTTTATTTAATTAATTTTCTACGGCTACTGACCATGCACATAACCCAAACCCGAACAGTATAATATGGATGCTTCTGAATGCTAATATAATAAAAATAATACTGTGTTTTGCTCTAGTTTAATTTTTAGTTCAGGTGCTTCATAAAAGCTATTTGGAAAGATGAGTTCTAGTGGGGTTTTTTTTCCCATGCTTAGTCAGAAATACATCTGAAAAAGTATCAAAAATGCTTGTTCTTTCTTCAGAGTTTTAGACAGTATTAACCCTATCTTCCCCAGAAGAAAACCAATTTATTTCTGCTACTATTAGTAATGAAATCTCTTTCACTGTCAGGGTGAAAAGTGTAGCACAAAGACAAGAAGATGACATAAGCAACCAGTCTTGATGCTGAGATTTATTTAAATGACATAGTAAATCCTGTCATGTCCTTCTGATAGTGCTCTTACAAATCCAATGGACACAAAGAGGTTCCTTGCAGAACATCCTGACAGAAGGTAAAGGCATCCTGCAATGCTGTTTCAAGTAGACCATAGAAAATATATTCATAAGACTGAAAAAAAGAAGTAAAGCAGTGGACCAAAGCTGTTTCAGGCTACTTTAAAACCTAAAAGCTTCCAGGCATTCTGAATACTTAAATGTTTTAAATAACACCTGTTTTACCAAGTAATTGCTTTCCAATCCTGAGGCTACAAATCTGTTTCTTGCCTCTGTGGTAAGGCCTATCTTTGTTAAGCTTATTACTTTGGAAAAGGGTTGTAGTTTTCTGACACAGCTGGCAGAAGAGCAGATGTGAGTTATCTGCATGTTCTCAGCACCTTCTCTTCCAGAATACCCTTTAGTATCACACTCTTAGAGTAAATTTTATTTAGACAATTAACTACAAAGCAACTGGAGTTTCTTTGCAGTCATAAGTTGAAAATAATGATTTCAGAAGTTAAAGAAAAAGAGAACACATAATTTAGTCTGTCTAAGTTGATGTGCCCCCTACTCTGCTGTCATGAGACCCTATCTGGAGTACTACACCCAGCTCTGGTGGATCTTAGAGGTAAATAAGCAAAAACGTGTCAACCAGAGACAATGTATATCCTAACATATTTCCATTTGTCTTTACCCTTAACCTTTTGCAACCACTTGTTAAGAGATGTATGCAGGCGTTTACAGCAATATCCCATTCTGTGAGATCCCTAAGTACATCTTACAGCACAGGTTCACATGTGTCTCACATTTTATTTACTTCCCTATTTTAGGGGGTTTTTCAAGGCCTTGTGCTTATGAGCTGAAATAGCAACATTACAGACCTATTTGTGCCTCTTGAGCATAAAACTTCACTGAAGGTATGTCTTACTACAGGGCTTCTACTGTTCTGCAGAGGAACAAAAGCTAAAAAGCATATTCCCCTCCAACCCCCAACACCTATTACATTCTTTTAAAAAAAATAAATAAAAAAATTTCCACATAGTATTCCCAGTGGGAAAATTTCTGTGTTTAGGAGAAACCAAAGGAAGATGCAAGGCACAGATATGGATACTCTCAAGCCATAAAACCCTAGTGATGAGATGAAAAGATTAATCAGGTTTAAAAGAGAGAAAAAAATAATAACCTTGTATGTCATACTTTAAAAGATTCCATTCTGACATGATCCATGCCAAGATCTTACCTTCTCATCATGTCAGTTGTTTCCCTATGTTTAACAGTAGTGATAGCAAAAGTGGACCAACTTACATAACTTCAATCAGTCAGCATTAAGATATAAAAATCTCATTCCTCATACAAGCATGGTCAATAACCATTTCCTTCTCTGCATCATCAATTTTTTGTTTAACACAAGTTTTAGGTACATTCCATGTGTACTCCCTATACTGGTCAGGTTATACACACCTTTTGTCTGCCCACCAAGTATCTCAAAGTACTGCTTTAGCCTTTTAGCACTCATTTTCTTTCTTGAAGTTTCTTTAAGGTCTGTCTTGATACTAATTCTTCATTCAGATCACTCTTCTATTGTACAGATGTTACCCAACTAATTCGGACTAGCCTGTCTTAGTCTTTGTACTGAGCTTTGGTGAGTTGCGTAGGTCAGCTCAGGCCTGTCCACAATGATCTCTGCTTCCCTCAAAAATGTGTGACCGTCTTAATCTCTGTTTCATGTACAGTATTAAATTTTAAATCACCCAATAATTTTCAAATTGTTTAATATTGTCAAAACTGGCAACCAAGGCTACAATTGTGTTGACTGATTCCAGCATTCCAGACTGTAACACACTGAAGCTCCCATGTGCTGAACTAGGGGAAGAATAAATGCAAAATGCATTTACTTCCAGAAGATATTCACATGCTTATCAAACTAATAATTAGATGCAATAATAAATATTCATATATTCAAAAGAGTAATAACTGCTCCACTGAAACCTTTGTTTTCACTTATGAAGGCACATGGCAAACAATTCCTATTAAAAGGACAGAAATAATGTAAACAATATATATTAGTTATACTGTCTTTCATATGGAAAACTTGACCAGAAATCACTCTCATGACAGTCTCAGAAAGATGGTTGAGATAACTATGGTATACTTGTTTCAAGATACCTCAGTATGGAACTCCCTTCTAACTTAGATGCAGAAGGTATTATGAATAAAATCAATCATGCTGAAAAGAATGTCCTACATCATTTCACCAGCCATTCCTGAGAGATGGTAAATGCAAAATTAAGGCATCCTAAATATTTTTCTCTATAATGGTAGGGCAAGTGATTAAGCACAGTGAGCTCTGATCTCTAGAGTTTGAGGGATGACTGTTATCAGCTGGACTTTTAATGGATGCCACTGTCTCTTGAAGTCACATAAGGGTTACTTTAAGTGAATTATACTAATAGAATTATTATTAACAGTTATAACACATTCTTCCCAACAAGTTAGACAGTTGCAATTTTTCAATTTGAAAATAACTGACCAATTAAAGAGTTATCCAATTTGAGTGAATCATACCATAATCCTGGGAATTTCACCCAGATATTTAATGCATGTTGCCAAGGCTTGCTCTGATCACAAGTTCACAAAATGATACTGCTTTGCATGCTGTATTCCTGCCAAGATGAAGCCATAACAGTTACATGTGGCGGCAATTCAGGGCTCCCAGAACACTGACCACAGCAATGAGGTTATAAACTCCTTACTTCCATTTCACTGGCTCTATCTGTGCAGAAAACCAATCCCTTCCCCACCCCAAATCCTACTTTGAAATAAATAATCTAACTCAGAACTCCTTATTTAAACTCAAGTATCAGGGGTTTTTGTTAAAACTCAACATCAAAGCTTTTTTTTTGGTGCACTCTCCTGCAATATATTCCCAAGGACATTTATTAACTGCCAGCCAAATACAAATGTAGAACAGATGGTACCTTAAAGTAGACAGGTAATGTGCATCTCTGGATCACCATTTATCATAACCATGAGGAACAAATTGCTGTAATTCAGGTTATGTCATTATAGATTTCTTTCCCTGGTTCTCTATAGAAGCAAAGTGGTCTATGTAGGATTTCTCTCCACTTTCACTTTTGCTAAGAACAGGTTAGCCACTTTCAGAGGACTGAAATGTACATAAAATAGCCTCACAGGGACTGTGCTTGAAGACTAATCAGGAATGACAGAATATTGATCAAGAAAATTCTTATTTTAAAACATAATCCTATTTTCAAAAAATGTAAGAGATTAAATAGATTTTCTTAAGCAAAAGCCAAGGGCAATAAATTGCTTAAGTTCCTCTGTAGTTCAAGTGAGGCTGTTCAGTTACAACAGCTTTAAAAGTATATACGAGCATTCTACCAGTTCACAAGGACAGACCTGGGGGAGTGCGTAGAAATTACGCAGGTGTAGGAATGAGATGGATGATCCTCAGAACAGGGATTTCATGCTCAGCAATATTTGCTATGAGCTTTCTGAACTTTTAGTTTAAAACACACAATGAAACAAGAGGTCGAATTCCCTGTTGCCTTGTAGTCATTTAGCCATGATCAAACTTGAGAGAGGGAAAAATTCTGCACAGTGATTTGGAAATTCTGTGTACTAACTACAAAGAAGTAAATATAACTGTCAAGGGCAGGATAGAGGAGACTGTGCACACAGGTTTTTACCTACCTCTCATTAAACACTAGACTGAAGCATGAGTCACATATAATCAATACTTAGCGCAGTAAATTTTATTCCAGTACAAGTTTTGTCACTATTCCAAAGGTATGGGGGGAAACTGAAAGAGCTTTTAAATATTTTAAATAAATTTGTTATTTTGTATGTTCAATGGTCTTCTGTTTTTAAAGAAAGATTTCTTATTTTTATGAATTACAAAAAACATGGCACAAGAGTGGAAACAAGAGGGTACCTTAGTGTATCCTTTACTTCACTGAACAGTCCTTTAAACTTCTTTTGAAAGGAGCTTTAGCCTGAAAGTCAAAAAAGCTTCAATTATACCAAAGAAAGAAAAAAACAAGTGTGAATCAAACAAAACCAAGCATGGCATGCCAGAGCTGACTGGACACTTATTCCTGCCCAGCTGGCTATGCAAGAGAACCTGAAGTTAGCCAGGTAATTGAGCGTAACAATAAAAGCAGGTGCTGCCTATGTGTGGGTATTTTTATTATCTACAGCATAGTCCACCCAAAAATATGTCCCTAATGACACCAAGTCATTTGGAGAGAGGTTGCAGAACATGTTCTGTCCCTGTGTGTGTCCTCCTGGCTGGTATCCTTGGATAAGGAGTTCTGGAGGCTAGGTTGGCTGTGCTGAATAGCACATGCCCATTCACTGGGTCAGCGGCCCAGAAAACCCAGAATTCCATGTTTGTCCACAGTGGTGAGGTGGGTACATATCAAAAGCAGCATCTGTTGACCACAGTCTTCACCTGTTAACATGCAATTGTGACAGATATGGACTGGGACAGGAGAGGAGAAGAAAGACAGAATAACAGCCCTGGAATATAGCAGATGAAAACAGAGTGAAAGATCTTTGAAAATCCTTTTAACTTTTTTTCCTGTATTACTTATACTCTGTACTTTTGGTCCCCACTGAAACTGTTTAAAAGCAATTCTGTTTATTATTAAGAAAGCCAGCTGCACTGGAACACGGTATCTTTAGATGGTTTGAATTATACAAATTGATGTAGTATTTTATTATCCATTTGACTTATGACTTACCAATTGTATTTTTTTTCCAAACCCTTCCTAGGTACTTAAGAACCAACCATTTTTTACTGGAAGGTGCTTTGTTTCCTGCCAAAGAGCACTGAAACAAAAGCTGTTGCCTGTAGCCTTTGCCAGTGCTAAGCAGTGTAAGGTGAGCACACACAGCACAGCCAGAGGTACGGCAGAAAGCATACCTTACCTCCATGCCTCACTAAATAATACATTGGCAACGCAAGCATGCAAGAGATTTGGTGTCTCGTAACTACTATCAGACGTGTGTCTATCAAGCCTCGTGTTCGTTGGTCAAATGAGACCAATGAATTAGAGAATGTTCAAAATTGTCTTTCTTTAAATATTCTCAAAATGAGTGCAGCAGAGTCACGGGAAAACTTGACTGAGAAGAACACAGCGGTAAGAAACTTAGTGCAAATATGCAATTTGTGCTTTTTTGGTTTAGTTTTTTTTGTTTTGTTTTTGTAAATAGGCTGTCTAGTGGGGGGCCTGATACTGCTCATGTAATAAATGAGAATGGTGGGATAAAAGGAAAAATAATAAACATGTCTTTCCTCAATCCCACAAATATGAATTATGCACTTTCTAGTCCTCTCTTATTAGATGATAAAATGTGTTGATTTTTCTGGTAAGATATGAGAAATTAATGTTTCAGCATGATTTGCCTTTAAATACTGGAACCTTGTTACACTAGCTAGAACAGTGTCTGTCATAATTCAAATAACATTTCAAGTTTTATTATTTACCTATGCATATTTGTATCAGGATAAAGGTTGGCACGTTAAATGATAGCCCTAAAATATTTTCTCAAAATATGACGAGGAATTTGGAAGTGCTTTACATTTTATAGTAATGAAGAACTATTTTAACTCTTCATAAACTTGTCTGAGTTGCTTTTGTTAAGAAGTGTCTGAAATGCAAATGAAGAAATGTTACAGATACTGGAGGCTCTGCTTACCTGCAGAAGAAACTGCAAGCTTTTCAAGCAAGGGTGTCAAAAACATGTGCCCAGCTATTGCGTGCACATATAAAGAGTCCTAAGCAGAAGATAGATTATTTAGTAATGTGGCCAGTGAATATTGCAGTTGGACTACAGGATTGCTGTCAATCTTCCAGCTGAAATGTTCCAACTGAACAATTTTATTCTATTCTTAACTAGATTTACTAGAGAACTTCAGTAGCTACCCCTCTTTTACCCCTCTGCATCCCTTCCCAGAATTGCCAGAAAGTAAGGGTGAGCTGCTTGTTGATCTGTAGCTTCCTCTGGATCCTGGGGGCTGTTCTTTAGTGGTTTAGGAAAAACACAGGGTTGAATGATATAGTCTTCATTTGCAATGTGCTGTCTTTTCACAATTTATCCCAAGACGTACTATGGAGTCTCATGCCAGGGATTCTTGACAGTGAAGATTAATTGGGATCAGGGTGAAACAGAAAGGAAGGTCTCAGATGCAAGAGCTGGACAAAATAACATGGCAAATCATGAAAAGGACTTCTCACATCCTGTCCTCAAAAAATTTAGGGGTTTTTGGTGTGAGGGTTTTTTTTGTGTTGTGGTTTGTTTTGTTAGGGTTTTTTGTTGGGTTCTTTTGTTGGGTTTTTTTGTTGGTTTAGTTGGGTTTTTTTAATTGAAAAGGAAATCCAGCTCAATATGCAGTGGAAAATGCCAGTTACTTGACAACAGCCTGTTTTCTAAAGTTAGGAGAGGACTTACCAGTACAATATGCATGATGGTATCATCCCATGGGTATACAAGCAACACTATTCACAAATAGCTCTCAAAGTAAAACTGATTCAGTTTCCTATTTTTATAATTTCTATTTTCTCCTTTGCTAGTGAAAAAATGAAAGAGTTTACATGTAAGATACATTTAAGATAGCAAGAATATGATGAAAATGAAGGTAGCTATTTCGCCAAAGGAACGCAGAGCAGAACTTATATAGTTTTCCTCAACAGTTTTCCTTGAATGCATATTGCATATATGCACCTACTAATGGAATACACAGTCTGGGAACAGTAGAGGAGACATGTCTCATTGGCAGTGCAAGAAAAAAAACAAACAATATCTGACTGTGAAGACAGATTTATCAATAACTTCCGATTTTAAAAATATCCTGACATTTACTGGATTCCTGCAATTCATGAGTCCACAAAATCTACAGGCCTTCCAATAGCTGTTTGTTGAAGAAAAGTATACATTTATCAGATGTATAACATGAAATGAAGAATTACTGTAGGCCTCTTAATAAATTAATGGGAGAGAGATACAAAAGACCCCAGAGAAGAAACACAAAAGAAGAGAAAACCTACAATTTGACTGCAATGTTTGAATGCTGTATCATACCTGGCCTCATAAAACAAACACATTAATGCAAAAAGTTTATAGGTAGCATTCCCAAAGACCTGCCAGTGAAGGTTATATAGCATTTCAGGTATTTTCTTCACAAAATTCCACCATCCATTTCTGCCAAAATGACTACTCACTAACCAACATAATTTTTCAAACTGTAATCTTCATTTTTCCACTGTCTGCCACAGAAGCACATTTGAGTCTCCAAACCAAGGAAAATGAGAGGGCAATGCTCTCTGCAAACTTTTAATCTGACTGAAACCTTTATCCTGTCACATTAATAATTTTTAAAATGTGTTGCTCATTTTTATGGGCTCTTACCTGTTATGAGCAGGTGCAACAGGACTGAAAAGATGACTGTAACAGACTGTAAGTTCTGCCTCTCCACCAGTTCCATTCATGGGTGGGCTCCTATTATGCACCTCCTGGGAAGAAGTCACAGACCCACAGATCTAATTTTGCCCGCATCTCAGCTAATTGCATAATGTAGTAAGTCTATTGTCACTATGAGATAGCAAATCAAGATATGTTTGGGGGAGAAATAAATAGGCCAGAGGACAAATATAGACAGCTCAGTGCCAAAAATAGCTGACACAAAAGGAAAATCTCTGATATTTGATAAAAGCAACAGTATCTGTTCTCCCTGTCACTTAAATAAGATATTTTTATAGAGGGACAGTAAAAGTGAAAAACTACAACCAGCATAACCAGTATGAAATTATAATAATGGCTTAGGTCAAAGTCAAAATCTGTGCTTTTCTCATTTTCTCCCTACATTTTCAGAAAGGATAAGGTACTAAAAAGCTCAAGGAAACAATTAAAATAAGCTACAATCCTAGATATCAAATATTCCTCAAATATTTTACTTGACATAAATTACTGTTAGTATTCAACAGTGATTGAAACTACTGTTAACAAGTAGGGAAGGAAATTAGAAGAACAGAGATATAAGTCATAAAAATTGTGAAAACCTCAACCTCTAGAACACACCCAAACCTGGTCTGGGTGTTTTGTTTTGGTTCTCCCCTCCTGCCCCAAGTTTCAGAGGTACACTTTCACTAAAATATATATTTAGAAAGTTGCTGAAAGTCAAGTTTGGGCCTACATTCAAATTTATTCCTGACACGAACGCAGGTATTACAATGAAATCTTTCTTTTGGGGTGGGAATCCAATTTTATAAACTACTGAATTTCCACACAATTTCCTTTCATCCAACACATGCAAGTTAGCAAAGCAGATACTCATTTTATCCACTATCAGCCATAGGTCCTACACTAGACAAGAGTAAAAGAAGCTACCACAATTAGTTAACAGTATTTTGAGAGCTGCAAGGGAGAAGCAGGTGCACTCCAGAATATTTTTGAAAGATGGCATAACACATACCCTGAAAATTACTGAAACCAACAAAAGGACCCACCAGCAATGAAGCAAAATATAGGAGAATGTGGGTATTGCATAAGCACTCTCAAGCAAATTAGGAAAAGCCTGCTCCACAGTCTAAAGTAAACCCTTAGATGCAGCATAAATCAGGAGTATTTCTGACCTACAGCTGTGAGTTAAGATGAACATTCTTGCAACTGGGGAATTTAACAGCTGCTTTTCATTTTGGGCCAGAAACCTAGCCCATTTAGGATCTTTGATGGAAGAAGTACATATGGTAGGGGAAGGAAGGATGTCATTTTTTTTGCTTGCAGCTTGTATCAGTTAGGAAAAACTAGCAGGATGTTAACCATCATCACAATGTAGTTCTGCCAAAAAACTAAAGGAGAAATAAGCCTTGGGCCAACTTCTGGTTATACAAAAGGTGAAAACTGTGAGTGAAGAAACTTTTCCATATTGTTTAAGAAAGGTGGACCTTGAAGTCTCTTTTTAAAATTATTCTTGGAACACATCAAATACCCAGCACTCCTCGTGTTTTTAACTTCTAAGTAAAATATTACAGACCACTTTAATGCTAGTTAAAAAATTACTTTAAAACCCAGAAGTCCAACTCCCAACAATGCAGATTAAATTAAACTCTATCAAACACAAGCATAATAAAGGGCAGCCACACACATTCAAGAATTCCTTTATAAAAGAAAGGGACTAATGAATTGAGATTTTAGTTACTAATTGAGCCGCAGTTCTTAACATTTCCTTCTTGTTAATATTTTAAATTCATGTTCCTTTTACTTAAATCTCTTTTAGAAAGAGATGTGAAAACTTACATTTGAGTATTTGCTACAGGACAGAAAACATCAAAATCAAACCTTAGGAGCTGATTTTAGGAAAAGGGGAGCAGAATTCATCAACTGGCACAAAATAATGGCAATTTTCTTTCCCGAGCATACCATAAGAAAGACAGAAGAAGTCTTTGTCAGCACAGTCAACTGATCAGAAAGGCTGGATATCAACACTTAGCAATTTACCTGACAAGAGTTACAGTGCAATTAGAAGAACTACCCTGGGTTGTGTTTCCAGGCTACCCAAGCAGTCTCTCAGCTAATGCAATAGCCCTTCTGTCTCCCACCTGCTTTAAAATGCTATGACTCAACCCACAACACAGATAGCTGTATCAGGTCTTAAAAAAATCAGCAGTCACCTGTCACAACACCTTTCATGCAGCACACACTGATTACCAGGCACTTATTCATTAACCCCACTTTGTTTGGAATTCTCACTAATTGCATGCTTGCTGCTTTTACATTCATAATAGACAGCAATTCTGCTGTCAAGCTTAAGAATAAAATGTCTGAACAGCACCTTTAATTCACACTGTAATTCACATATTCCTTTTGTATGAACACACTGAACCCTTTCACTGACTCCTACTGGATCTGATCTTACTGGATCTCACATCTTCCATTGGGAACTGGCTTCTGTCCCAGCCACCAGCCTGTGTCACAGCCTGTCCTCCAACCCAAGGGCTCCTGAGCTGCTCCATTGGTGGTCTCTGCTGGCACCACGCACTGGCCTCTGACCCCAGGTCCATGTTGCATTGGCAGGGCACGCTGGAGCTGGCAGACTTGCCCCTGCAGAAAGGCTCCGTGGAGCTCCTCAAGCAGAGATGGGAGTCTGCCAATGCTACAAGACCACACCTGATGTTCCAGCACTTGCCACTCCCACCATCCCTGGTGCCAGATAGGATTTCCCTGGAGAAGATGCCATCAGACAGCAGGAGGGCAGATGCATTCAAGGAGGAGACCCTCAGTGGATCTCAGCTGATGGAGCACGTCCCTGTCACTGTGGAGGAGCTGCGGAGCCACTTTGAGGCTCTGGGTGGTAGGAAGGTAAGTGCCTGGGCAGGGTGGAGACCTTGAGGGAAGGAATGGAGAGGGGTCCCAGAGCGGTTTCCCCAGCCTCACACTGCCCCTCTGCTGTGCCCTGTTGGGAATGGGAAGCACCAGCCACAGCTCCCATGGATGTCCTGGAGACTGCATCAGATTGTTAATAGTGGTTGTCATTATCTATTATTATCTATAGCTTTCTTTACTGCCTAATTTTATTGGTCTGTTTCATTTTAATGGTTTCTGACTGGTGTTAATTGCCAAGCTATCAGGTAAATTAGTGTGTAGGTGTATTTGGCTTGTGCTTTTTAGAAGAGGAAAAAGCCAAGATATTTCACAGAATAGTCTGAATTGGAAGGGACCCACGTGGATCATCAGCTCTTAGGTTAATGGCCCGAGCAGGGATCAAATACACAACCTTGGCATTATTATCATCATACTCTGAGACAAACTGAGCTGATCTCAGGGTCTCATATTATGGCTAAGAAAAGAATTCCCAAACAAAACTATTTACAAACAGTCTAAAACTTTCTGAAGCATTTGCTTCTCATTTGTAGAGCAGTATTGATTCTCTTTTGATGAGAAGCTTGCTGTCATTTTACCCATTGGCTTTCATTGGCATTAACATGACAGGCCTGGTCAAATTCCAACCTTTATTTGGCATCAGATTTTTGTCTCAGAAACATCTGTGACTTCTTTGAGCTATCTGGGAAGAAGCTAGACTTTTTTGAAACTTAAAAAATGCTTCATAGAAGTAAAGGATACTGAAAAGATTAGTAATTTTAAACAGGGTGACTTCATTCATTATTGTAGCTAGAAAGTCTTTCACCAAGCTTTACCTCTTCTGCATAAAAACTGAAATGCCCCTGCAAGGTTTGGTTGCTGATGGAGTATTTTATACCTTCGATACTTTAATTACTCACTTTTTGTTCACTTGCCAGTTGAAAACAAAAGGTAAATTAAAAATCCCCTTTGAATAACTTACACCTCACTTCCAATTAAAGACATATTAATACTTGATTTCATAATGTGTTCTGATGCAGGATGACCCTGACAGTCCATGCAGTCAAACCATCTACTCATTTCATTTTAATGCCCAGTATGATTTAAATACGGTTTTCTGGTCCAAAAACTGCAGTTTAGAATAATGCCTGCTGACAATTATATAATTCATACACAAAATTGAGGTACTAAAAGATATTATAAAGCTTTTTTATGTGAACAGTAAAATAAAAATTCATGTGATTCATGAAAAAATCTTTTCATTGTCTTTAAACATATAACGCACAAAGTAACAGGAACCAGTAAAATATAGGTTAAAACTTTATGGGGTTATTGAGCACTTTAAAGACCATATAAAATAGCCATAGACTGCTTCTAAGTGGCATGCTCAAATGCTTTTAAAATGGAGACCTTTTTGGTTGATCTTAGAATGTTTTTAAGATAGCAAAATAAACTTTTCTTCCTATGGAGCAAATCATTGAGTACTGCAAACATGATCAATCTTGTAGGAACAACTTGGTTCTATTTTTAGTCTTATTGGAACAAATTCCTTATTAAATGAGAAAGAATAATAATTTGGACTTAAACAGCATTATTCTCTTGAGAGAATTGAAGACTTTTCTTCAAACAACACTGAAGATATTTGAAGGTACCTATTAAGTACTTGATGTGTATCAAGCTAATGGTAAAGACTTTCAAGGTTAGAGTTAACAGTGGTGTTTATTAATATTAATGATTGCTAAGTATTTCAGTAGTTAAATATTATACCACGAGATAAAAAACTTACCATGAGAAACAACAGCATTTGTATTAGGATGCCTTCAGAAGGCACATCTTGACAATAATTCTATCATCGAGTAGTGACCGACACAAGGAGATGCTTATATCGCAATATAATAAAAGGCCATGGAAAGGTTCAGTGAACTGATTCCTTAAGATTCAATCTCTTTCAGCCATAGTACATTTCCATGGGCAGGAGGAGGGAAGAATGAAAAATGAGGTAATGCATTTTTTTGGGATTTTTTGTAGTGGTTTCACCCAGAAGCCATAAAGAGAGTTAGAACAAAATTAGAAATATGTAAGACTAAGTCAAATCCATAGAAATCACAGTGGAATCTGAAAAAATTAAACAAAATGTCTAAACAAAATGCCAGTGAACTACATCAGTTACCTTACAAACAAATAAATATTTTTACTAACTTTTTCCTCAGGGAAAGAATGCCAAATGTTGGAACCCTGCTTGGACTATCTCTGGACTAACCAGGCTTTCAACACCGGGCCCATTTTATTACATTATTTCATAGGAAAAAAAGATTTTATTCTGAGGCAAAATACTGCTAATTAAATATTCTAAAATCTCTCATTCAGGTTGCATTTTCATTGCAGTGCTGTTATTTGTATACATACAAAATTAATAGAGAAAATCAGGTCAATTAAATCACACTAAATCAAAAAGCAACTTTTAAAGAATTATATATAGATATATAGATACACATATATATTCATATATAAAAAACACTCTGCTTAAAGAACACTCTGCTGCTTCAGAAGTGAAAGACATCATTATAGACAACTGCAAATGTATTTAGACTTTGCCCAATCCTATTTATTTGGATGAAATTAGTACTTCATATTGCAATAAATAACACAGAGTGACTAAATAGTAAATACCAAGTTCAGTAATTTTGAAGCTAAATCACTTGGTGAATTCAAATTACTTTTAATTCACCTGAGATTATCCTAGTAGAACTTGGATGTATTTCTTTCTTAAGAGTATTAATAAGCTAATAATCAAGTCTAGTTTTGGAGCCTTTTAATTTTGCCCTGTGGTATCTGGCCTGTCCATATCTTTACATTACTTAGACATAAACTGTTAAATAATCCCATTCTGTTAAAATGAAAGGTGTTTTCACCTTTTCTAGAGGAAAAAATATTTCTTAGGAAGTAATAATATACTAAAACATCAATTTACTATACTGGTGTCATATGAAATAACTAGTTTATTAGCACACGAAGGCATGGAAATGCTAAAGCAACAAAGGCCTGTGTTTTCTGTAAAGTGATTAGGTATGTTTTCCTTAAAATATGTGAAAAAATCCTAACTGAGAAAGTAATTTCATGCTTCTTAGAGATACCTATTCAAAGAACCCAGTAAAACCATTCATTTAAATAATCTGATATATGGTCATTAAATTGTGTCCTTTGCTGAAAACATGTGAACTTCTGCCTAAAAAGTAAACAAAGCCAACTGATGTTTAATGTAAAAGGTTAGACCTTCATTAAAATTGTCTAAACAAACAACATTTTTTTTTTCCCTTAGCACCCTTGGAAACATTTATATTAATTTAGCACAGCCACATAATGTGGAAAAGAATGGAAACCCCATGATAACTGTAGGTCAGTTTTGTGCCCTGTTAGCACTTGCATCATTTCTATTTTTGCTATGGATGAAGAAAAGGGAATGAGTACACAGGATGGCCCCAGAATTGCCCTTGTTGAAAAGCTTGCTATTAAGGGGAGTGCCGCATGGTCGGCCATACAGCATTGATGGATTAGACAAAAGCATACAGATGGATCTTGGCCTCAACTCTTCATTAACTCGTTCTTTTTGTGACACATGCATTCCCCCTTTTGTTTGCATCAACATTTTCTAATGTGAAAAGATTCCACAAGTAAAGACCAAATTAAAAGAACCTGAATTTCAGATCATGAAGAACAGCTTTTGGTAAAAATTCAGTTTCTTTTTTGTTTATTTTCCCCTTAAGAGGAAAACTTTTTCCTGTGCTTTTAGTTTCTAAGTAAATGTATCAGCTCTTTACAGGTAACTTACAGATCATCTGAGAAATAATCCTTATCTCACTTTAGTTATTCTTATTTAACTCATTTCTAAACTGGACTGGCTTTTCACAGTTTGGAAGATGTATTAAATTTTTGCCTTTCTAGAAAGTGGACTTCTTATCAGACTTCTCACTGGAATTTACAATGTTTTGCACCAGGAAAAACAGCTGTTCTAATGGTAAAAATTAAGCTTCCCAAACCTTCTTTGTTCACAAACAGCTCCCCAAACTATTACAGTCTGTTATGCATGTCTGTATATATAAATATACAGACAGACAAAGGTCTTCCATACTGTACTGCTGTTCCTACCTGTTTAATCAGTGAATTGGCACAGACTCACATTCCATCCCTGTTTATCACCTGCAGTTCTTCAGTTCCTCTGAGCTATTTTCTCCATGTCAGTTACACCATTACACTTGTTGGTATAACCTTATGCAAAACTGGATTTGAAATGAGCACAAATGATTCACACTTGGGACACATCAACATTTCAGACCTTCTCCTCCACCACACCTGTTAACTAGTTTCTCTAGAGGTCTCTGCAACTTGACTCAGTACTTGCCTAATTATTAAGCACCTATGCTTTGGTCAAACATTTGAATGTGTTCCAAATAAAAAGTGATTATATTTTTCTTTAGCAGATCCTTAAGAACTCTTTCATTCTCCTGCCTTCAATTTAGCTTTACCAAACTTTTGTGCTTTATTTGGAGGTGTGGACAGCAGAGGAAACCATCTGTAATGGGATCTCACCTTACAAGGGTAGAATCATCCCCTTTTCCTCACAGTGAGAGAAGTAACTGTTTGAGCTTCGGCAATGGTGAAGGTTGCTACAAAAAAGAAAATAGGACAGATCAGTTGGAAAATTGAATCTTGTGTGTCACCAGTTACTTACAAAAATTCAGTATTAAACTCATCAACATATAAAGCACGGCTGAGCAGGTTGCATTTTTAAAAGCAAGAGGATGGGATGGATTATAGTCATATGCCCTCAACCAAACTTTCCAAAGGAAGTCCTCTTTATGCTAAGATTTAATAGATACTTGTTTATTGCTTTGTAATGTTCTTATTGTTTACTGCTTATTCACAATCCACAAAGATATATAATATATCACGTACTGAGGATGATGGTGGCTGATTTTTAGGATCACCTGTCCTCAAAAAATCACAATAATTTCATTTTTGTCTCATTTTCATCTTATTACTATGTTTTCTGCATGACTCTTAAAAATATTTCTTGGCTGGTTTTTATGGCTGTTGAAATTTTAATTTAAAGAGGCATTTTTCATTTCTTATGATGAATTGAGTCTTTCGTGGAGTACAGTTATATAAAAAAAAAAAGTATTTTGACAGTGCATCAAATGCCTCTTCCTGGGATGACTGAATTTCCTAGGAAGGCAGTCTAAAAATCACAGTTATTTCTGGAACAGAGAAGTATTTAAATAGGACCATTTAAAACCACAAAGCACATTTTCTCTAGGAGATTAGGTCCAAATTTTTTTGATGCTGTTAAATACCATAATTACATGGTAACAGGGTAACAGACATCCTTACAAACTTGAATGTATATATACAGCAGATTAACAGGTATTGTAGAAGTCTAGAAAACAAAAAGACTGTATAACACAAAAGATTTTTTAGAAATAAAAGGCTTCTGACATTTTTTGAGATTTCCAGGACTTCTACCTGTATTACTGCGGATATGACAGAGCTTTGCCTTTAGGTCTTTCAGTAAAGACCATTGAAGTTAAAGAGCAGTATCATTTAAATCTGTGCTAACTGAAGTTCTACAGGTGAGCCTGTAATACTTAAATAAACAGAGAAGAACCTCCTCCATTTTAGGAAAACTGAAAAAAAGAAAAGCATCAGGTTGGGTTTTTCTTTCAATATGCTAGTAACATAAATCTATTTGCAGAATAGAAGTACTTATGTTTGTTTTTATGTGAAACATATGAAAGAACAATAACCTATATGGAAATAAATACAGCCATGTTTCCTTTTGCTTTCTCATTTTTTAGAAGGATCTAGAGGAACATGATTTTAATTTTTTTTTTCTAATTTTTTGCAGTGCACTCTAAGCTGTGGTAGTTGCAAGAAGAAACTAGATTTTGCAAATAGCTAACTTCATTTTCAAAAAATGGTAATTTCATTCCAAACAGAGAGGAGATTTGATATTTTTCATATTTCTTTAGGGCCTGATTTAGAAATTACCTTCTGTTAAATTCAGGATTATAACAGACTGACTGTTCTTTGGTTCAAGTCTCCAGAATGCAGAAAAAGCAAAGAAGCTCTGCCTTCATATGCAGATGAATATTATGTGACTGTGTGTTATTAAATAAGCACACCAAGAGGATGGGGAACTGAGGAATAGGACACCTGGGACTTAAAAAGGGTGCATGCACACACACACAGAGTCATGAAATCATTTTTTAAAGATATAATCATCTATAAATTATCCAAAACCTGGGTTTTGTAGAAATAATCATTCATATTTTTAAATCTGCAAGGATCAGCAAAGTTAAAACCTTTCAACTTAAGAAACAAGCTACTATGTGCATTGTATTTTATACAGTTTGATCTTGAGGGTGAAGACCTGAGTTTTCTAGGTCATCAAAAAAAAATTATTTCTTCCCTTTCTGACACGTAAGTTAGTAAATACCTCGCTTTAGCCAAGTCTATTTTTGTTGTACAGTTTCCAACCTATTAACCAGCAGCATCAGAGCTTGATAACCTCTGTGGGAAACTGACCATAGAGCACTTGGAAAGGCACAGCTCCTTTCCACAGTGAGTGGCTAGAAAATGATGTTTGGAGAAGTATGTTTTATTTATAACAAGTTCTTTCACTTCATCTCCACATTTAGTTTAAATTTAGTTTGCAATATTTTATAGACAATACTTCTTATCCTAAATAACTTCTTGAGTATTTGTCTGGTGTGTCAGAAAGAACAAATCTCAAAATATTTTCACTGTCATTCTGTCTGCTCTATTTGGAACATATTACCAGCCTGTGGTAGCTTAATCAATTCTTGAAGCATGAAAGTGATGTGGAAAGATGAGAAGTAAATATGTCATTACTAGCACATCTTTGGAAACAGCGCTTGTAGGAAAACATAACACTGAGTTTATTAGGAAGAAAATAAGCTTGTGACCTAAAGCCTGAGAAATCAGGTGTGCAGGTGCTGGTATGCAGGAGAGAGCATACCCATAAATTAAACAAGAGTGAAAGAGACATTGCTTGCAGAGTATAACGTGTAATGTGTCAAATGAACATGATCAAGTTAATAAAATAAGCACCTGCACCAATATTCACAATTAATATTTCAACAGGCTATTATATATGTAAAATAAAATCTCCAATGTTTCTATTGTGATATCTTTCCTCCAACCTGAACAGCACTTGTGAGAAGAAACCATTAACAATTCTGTTATTCTCTGACAGTATCTAGTACAAAGAGAAATGGACTCACCGTGTTTCTTAAGTTGTGAGGTTGAAGTGAATGGGTCCAAACAAACTGTGCTCAGAGTTGCATGTTACTGTTGTGAATCTTCATGAAAGCAGAACGGTTTCTGTATTTTCAAATTAGGGCACAGAAGACTTTTCATCTTTACATGTCCAAGGCACAGGTAGTAACAGTTCAGGGGTAGATGTCAATGTTGGCCATTATAGTGTAGAAGGTACAAATTACCTGCTAAAGACATTTCACTAAATCAGCTGTCTTAACCAAAGAGATCCTTCATGGCATATTATCCTAAAGCTTAGCAATTAGGAGGCATTTAGCAAATGGGAAATAAAAATTTAAAAGAAAACACCACTACCATACTTGAACACTATTTCTTTTTCCTCTTCTGTCATGGTGTGATGGTATGTTTCTTTCAACTGTAACACCTGATTAAGGATTTTGGAATAATAGATGTTATTCCAAATTAGGCAGTCTGTGAACTCTGTATACCCAGGGGTGTTCAAGTTATGCACTGCATTTCTTTAAAGCTGTTTATATGAAATTTTGTCACATATTAAATATCACTGCTGGACTGTAGGTATGAAAATGGTCCATAGTAATACTGTATTTGAGACTCCCCCTAATTATACCTATTGACTCAGAAACTCCATCATTTAGAGCTCATCTTGAATTCCCTGCAGCTACATCTTTTATATAATACCCTCTTTATGTGCTCATTGCTAATCATCCATTGTTGAATATGTTTCATTTGTTCTTATTGCTCATTTTCTAACATCAGTCCAGTATCTGACCAAATAAAACACTATTTCCTAAAAAAGGGAATGCTGATAACCCATAATTTTACTAGCTTTTATAGATAGTAATATTGTGGGGAAAAAAACTAATTTAAAAACATGCAATGAAATATTAGATAAAAAAGCCTTTGCTAAAGTTAGTTGCTATCTAGAGACCATACAACTATTCTATTAAAAATAGTAATTAAAATAAAGGAGTGGGATAAAACTTAATTTAGCTCACTGAAAAAAAATTACAAGGAATTTTAAGTTCATGACTGCTTTGACCACCAAAATTCCCAGCATGCAATTCTCTGGTGATGTACAGAGCAAAATGTGTTGAAGGTGCCCTGTATAATTCCTAAATAAATGACAAATGCTGGGGACTGGAACATATATTACTTTCTGCAATTTTGGAAAGAACATCAGAGAATATACCACATATTTGACTTTTTAAAAATTATCATATATTTAATGGGAATAAATATATTTATGCCTTGATAATGCATCAACTCCTTGGACCTTGTACTAAGGGAAAGACTGCAGCTAGACTTAAGCCTGTGCATTTTACTTTTGGCTTCTGACTACAACAGAGGGATCTGCCTCAGTTGCTTGAACAACTAAAGGAAAACGCTTCTGTCCTATTCAAAAAGTGGTATCAGTGAAATCTGGGAACCAGCACTACAGTAAATAGTCAAATCTTAGCACCCAGGCAACATTTTGGAAGGAAACAAAGGGGAAGGGTAAGGAAAGAGTGTATGTACACCTAAAACAGAGTGCCTACCAAGAACTAGAAGCAGAGGTAATTTTTTAAGCCATTTGCTTCCCGACTCTGCTTTTGTTTTTGCTTCATTTTTTTAGTTTCTTTTTCACATCACAACATACTTCTAATAATTTGCAGCTATTTAAAATAATTACAAAAATAATGAAATAGCAAATGACTGTGGAAAATGACAACAGAAAGAATGTAAATGTCTGCTGCAGTACTAGACCCAAAACGATTGTTAGAAAACCCCCACTTCCACAATCATTGTTTTATTTTGCTGAAAGGCAGAGACACACACCAAGATATTTTAAGAATGTTGAGAGATCTAAAATGATAGGCCTCTCTAGCTAAGTAAATTTCAGCAAGAATGTGCAAAGAAAAGCAAATATTGTCTGTGAATTTATAAGAAACAAACAAAAAAGCTGGAATCCCCACACAGTCTCACAAAACCCCCTGAAAATAATAATAATAAATTTCCACTGTGCATTTGAAAACACAGAGATAAGACATTACATCCCTAAATATGCCCTTCAAGATAAATACAATAAAGAAAAAAGGGATAAACTTAAATTGACACATGAATTTAGTATACAGCAGTGTTCCTTTTACAACTGCAGTGCAAAGAAGGTAGTAAGTTTATTGTGGACACTTAAAATAAAACTTTATTGCACTAAAAAAGAGCAGAATTTTATAAGAAAGTGTTGGTGTGTATTGTATTTAATATTGTGGTAGAATTTTTTCAAATTACTTTGGAATGATATAAACAGAATGTGCCAGTTATCATATTTGATTCAAATGTTTGGTACTTATCTGTACATTTAAAAAGGCAGGAGAAGATAGAAGAGGAAAGCTTGTAAAAACCCTAATTTTCGCTGCATTTCAAACCTCAGTTTGTGCCTCCGATGTGGAGAGCCTTTTGTGCTGCACCAGGTCACGATTCTGGGGAAAAACCTCTGATATTATTCTTGGTTACTAACCACACTGGTTTAGAAAACAGTTTCCACGACTTGAACCAAGCCTGGTAATTGTAACCTGTTTATATTGGTCAGAAAGCTAAGCTGTCTGTATTCTCTATCGTCTTTTGTTGCTGTTCCTTCTAAAATATTTCATTTTAAACACAACTGTCTCAGATCCAGACTTCTTATTCTGCATCTTTTTCTGGTAATGTACTGCTAGTTAGTATTATAGACTTCTGGTACACACTTAGTATAAATTCTCTTTGATTTTTATGTGATTTAATTTAAATTTGCTTTCAAATGCCGCAGTAAGTTTTACTTCTACCAAGTTGGGTTTTTATTTCATTTTTTAGTCTTCATAAATTTTCATCTTCATCAATTTTTTCTTGATTTAGTTTTTTAAAGGGTACCTGCCCTACTTTAAAAAAATGTTACTCAATCACTATAGTATCATAATACTTTAAAAAAGGCTCATTCAAACTAGTTTGACTGCTGTCAAATTACTTGACTGTAGCCTCAGTTTCTTTATGTGCTAATAAAACACACAAGTATTTTGACTGCAAAAAATACCAGTAGATAGGGACCACTGCACAGGATTGGCTGAGGCAGGGACATTTCTGTACCTATTGTATGTCCTCCAGTTAACCTCTATTTAATCCATTGTCCAGCTACTGATTTAGCAGCAATCTTTGTTATCATGCTGTGAAGAGTGCTATAACATTTCAAATCAATATAATACAATTGGCTGCATATAAATGTGTGTGGCCTCAGCAAAAACTGAAATATGGCAATACTCAACACTGTTTACAGTACATACTCAAAACATACCAGCTACTGTGAAAAAAAAAACAACTATATCCTAGCCAACACCAGCATAGATGGCAATTCTGCAAATAGATCTCCTGTTTCCTCAGGTTGACACAAGCTCTTTTATGTACATGGCACAGCTATTTTATACCCTTCCTCCAAATGAAAATAGTCTTATTTTAAAACTGTCTCCAGCTGAATAGGATACGCATCTCTGGATCTAGTCTGGAGGTAAAATGAATGAGCAGGTTCCAGGCAGCTACAGGGATTCTTTTTAAAGCCTCCAGAGAAATTCTGTCTTAGTGAAATGGAGCATTGCAGAGCATCAGCTGAGAACCATGGCTTTCTCTCAACAGTTTCCTTTCTGCCTTCAGAGAGTTTATGTAGCAGGTGTCATTAGCACTCCTCTCTAAAAGTCACTTGAGGGGGTCTGTCATCGATCTTAATAATGCCATCAGCATTCTAGCAGATGGTAGACATGATTCTATGCACTCCCATTGCACCAGAATGGATTCTCACCATAATTTTATTTACAGATGAGAAATGTATCAGAAAGAGGCTTGTCTCATGCTTGTATTTCCAAAGATTTTTTTCCAGACAGGATAACATTGTACTGTTTTATCTTTTTATTCTGTTTTCTCTATTTCTCTGTTTTCTCACTGTGATTGAGAGATTTACAGATATTATCAACTTGCTCGGCACAAGAATTAGCCTCAAATCATTTCTGTGTACTCTCCAGCAAAGCAGTCTCTTGTTTTGAATTAGAATTTAAGATGCCAATTTTTTGTAGCCAATGTAAACGTTAGTAAATGTTAGAAGTCAGTTCCGCAAAGTGCAACCTGAATTGCCATTGAAACAATTATTTGAATAGCAATCCTACCTTAAAATTAAAACCCAATTAAAATGTATTAACAGATCGAGATTTTATGTAACTTTAAAGCAACAGATTTGATTTGTAAACAGTTTTCCTACTGCTCCACTCATTTCCTACCTCCTCAGACAATTATGGATTTATTATTTTCCTTTCAATTTACACTTTTATCTTTTCTCTTTGGGCCTATTTCTTCTACCCCTCTTTGTCCTTTCTTACACATTCATCCTTTTAGTAGACATCACATACAAAATGAAAGTTAGGTGGTAGACAGCTTTCCTTTAGGTAGCACATGTAATGAATGCAGTTAACACACACAGGTGAGGACGTGCATCTTTTGAATACATTTAAAGATGTCCTCTAAAAAGTATTGAATACATTGAACATTAACAGTAGATCTGACAATCTACTTTATGTGCTGAATGCAAATTCTTCTTGCAATTCACAGCAGTTCTACATATACAGAAAAGGTAGTAGTAATTTGGTAAATAGTTTTCCTCTATTTAAAACTTCATGTGTTCTGGCTTACTGACTTTTAGATTAGTGCAGAACTGGATAGCAAGTGGAAAATTCACTATCTAAATGAAGCATAGCCACTCAGCAGTCCAGTGAAACTGGAATCTTTACTGTTGGCATTTCTAACTGTAATGATTGCCTATTCCTTGAAATTTGGCTCTCCAGTGCTTTATTCTTTTCATCATGTCTAGAGTATGAGATCAGAGCATAAAAATAGCTTCTTGTGTCACCTTTTTCTGAGAAGTACATGCAAAAATAGAATATAATATCAGAGGCAGTACAAAAACTTAAGTAATTACGTGACAGGAAGATACCTGAGTATGGACAGACTTCAACAATTTATATCCAACAAAAATGAAATAGTATAAATGCTTTTAACGGAGTGCTCAACAGAACAGTTTATGTCCCAGTTAAATACCTGATCCCACCAAGAATACATGTATAGTTACAAAAGCTTGATATGAACTGAATGCTGCATTAATCAGAAAGAAAAAAAAAATCTTTTACTTTCCATTTGGCAAGTTTTGCAAGAGCTGCATGTATTAGCCTCTAATTAAGCACTACCTCAGTGCCTTTTTAAATGTTAATTCTATCCTTATTACGAAGATGTCTTTGACATTCACTGTCATTAGGTTATCTGCGTAGATACCCCAGTAGAAAAGAATGCAAATTAAATTTATCCTGATTAAATTGAGTTTATGGTAATCATAACACTTTTCAATAACTTTTTCACAGTAGGAAATACCAATTCCTGAGAATAATCTGAGTTCTAGCACTGCAGCTGGAGCCATCATGCAAGAAAATCATCACCCCAAAGCCCCCACTAAGACAGGGATGCTCTTTGCAAAATGGGCCTAGAGCAGCTTGAGACTGAATGTATCTTCTGCTATAGTAGCCCACATCTTAGAAGTCGCTCCATAAGAGAATTTACATGAACATCTCTTCAGTAGGGCCGATATTCCTGTAATTCATATTAAAAATGGTCCCAAAAAATGCATTAATTTTTTCTAAATTCTTAAAATTCATGTGTAAAATACTAAGTTATTTAAATTTTATAGGTAATGGAATTTCTACCACAGAGATGTAAATTTGAAAAAACATCACAGAAACATGCTACAAGTTAATAAAATTTGTAAGTTAAGAAAAATATAAATCAAATTTATATTGGTCCCTGGTTTGCAAGAATAAGTGTATGAAACAGTAAATTCTGAACTTTTTAGCTATTACTGGTATCTACAGGAAAAAAAGTAATAGCAATTACAAAAAAAACCAAAAAAACCCCAACAACAACAAAAAAACACCAAAAAAAAAAATTGACTAGTTTGTTCTCAACTATGCCAATGGTAATTGATAACACAGCATATTTTGAGTTCTCCATTTTGTTCTAATATTGTAGAAGTTAGAACATAATTAAAGTGATTCTCTGGTGTTCACTTGGGAAAGCACACACAATGCTGGGGCAAGGTGATCCTGAGGCTGTTCTCATGTATGCCAGGTACTGGCTGCCTGCAGTACTTGGAGGAGACAAACATGATCTAACAACATGCACAGCTGCATTTTCTTTTAATTTCTTCTCTCCCTCCCCAACCCTCCTTTCTCCTCTGCAGAGCCATTTCTGCATCATGGATTGTCCATAAGACAATAATGGTCAGAGTGGTTTTAAAGCAAAATACCATAATTAAGACTAGGCTGTAACTGTAACTTATAACCAACTCTGAAAAAGAGTACAAAATTAATAGCATTTTTAAGCCATAGCTCTTCCCACACAAAATATCCTATTCCTTTCAGCCACCTGCTACCCCTGGCACACATCATTCCTCTCAGCACACCCACATTCTGGCCAAGCTCTCTCTCCTACCTGTGCTGCAACTGCCCACCATTACTGCTGTGCACTGCAACCCAGCCTGGTCACAGAGCTCGTCTCACTGGCACTGAGCCACTGGGGCACTTCTGACTGCCTGAGAGTCCCGACAGACTAATGAGGCAAGAGCGTGGAAGTGTCATGGAGCTCCTTACACAAACAATGTGTAATACCTAAGTCTAAAAGCAGTTAGATATGAAATCTTCCTTGCAAAAAAAAACAACAACCAAAAAAAAACAACTATTTTTGCTACTGCAGCAGTTTCAGTTATTAACATAAGGGCTGTAGATGAGATTTTACAGACATTGTGTCCAACTTCATACTGAGTAGCACATTGCATGGAAGGAAGGAGAAGCACCCCAAAACACAAACTGCAACACATTAAAGCCTTGGTTAGCAATAATTTACCCATTTTGCCTTGAAGGGCTGAGGCCACAGAATGATTATGAGATGCTAATGATATTATGTAAATTATCTGTATGGAATACTAACCTGCTACTGTGATAACATAAATTCAGTTGATAAGTCACAGCAGAATTGAAAATCAAATTTCTGAAGTGCAAATGCCCATGTACATCTGATTTCCAAGACATCATTTGCTGTTTTTACATATTCTTATGTAGTGATAAATGAAGTTAAAGAAATTCCCTCTCTCAACTTCTCTGTGCACAGAAAGTGTTTAAAAGAGCAACTGGTGCTCAATCCCCTGGCTCTCTGTACACTCCCTGTGCCACAAAACCCACATCTCTTTCTTATTAATAACTTGTTACGCTATCTTGCTCTTGATGTCTTCTAACAGGAAACAGAAAGTGAGAGGAATTCACTTTCATCACCACTGAAGAGTCAGCCTGGGAACCAGTCTGCCATCTCTCAGGAGGAGTCTAGCGTGAAAAGAGGGAGAGCAATCTTTGAAAAGATGTCATCAGAAAATGGCCATAGCAACAGCTCTGAAGGTTAGCATTGCCACATTGACCTGATACCTTGCTTTAAGGCAGTGGTCTCCAAACCTTTTTGATGGTTACCTCTACCATTAAAATATTTATGAGTATGCCATGCCCTCCGAAGGTTTGTATATTTATTTAGAAATCATGTTTCTGCACTACTCTACTAGAAGAACCTTAGACAACATACACCAAAAAAAAAAAAAGTTAAAGTAGAATGGATGAAAAAAAATAGTTGTAAAGTGTTGATTCACAAAAAAACCCTAGATTCCTGCACCCCAAAGGACTGTCTTGCACAGCCCCTGGGGTGCACATACTCCACTTTGGAGATCAATGCTTGACCATATCAAAAAGTGCCTATATCTGCTTTGGTTTGTTTTAACAGAGAAAGAATATGCATGATCAAATTTTCTGATTGAAAACCACTTATTGACTTCTGAGTGTCTAGAACTTGACATTATATAAAATAACAGATTACCCAGATAAATAGCATTAAAAGGCTTGTCCAGTCTTCCAATAAAATTAATAAGCCTTCTACATCATATGAAACAATTACTGATTCCACTCTTTTTTTTAATCAGAAAATGTTTAGACTGCATATTTATCTATTTCAGACTCTAGAAATTTAAATGGAAATTTGAATGCATGAGACCTTTTCTAGCTAATGCTGCTAAGTCTATTAAGCTCATTGTTCAAACTACAGACCTGCTCTTTTAAAAAGTTTAACTTTCAGCCATTGGCTATCTTTTCCTTTTTTTCCCTACCAAATTAAAGAGACCTTTAATACCTGCTCATTTCTTCTTTGAAGGATAATTATCTATTATGACCATAACACTCCACAACTATCTAACACTAACTAGACAGAGCTACAGTTCTCTCTGTGGCAGTATTTTTTGTGCTTCTTCTCTGCATCTTCTGAAGTTTTTCAAATACATTTGGATTTAAAGATTATTTTGGGGTGTTTTCCCCTTCTCCTTTTAGAGATTTCTAGTATAAAACCTATTTTTTTCCTCTCTGACTACAAAAAAGAATCCTCCATTCCATATCCACTCTACCTGTGAGTCTAAATACGGCACTTCATGGTTCAGAAGCATTTTTTGATCCACCAGGAATAACAAAGAATATGATTTATGCAAAAATGCACAGTCAACAATTCATACCTCTTATACATGAAGCTTTTTTCAAAAATGTGACACATCCATAGGGGATAATGATTTTCTATGTTCCTGTGAAAGCCATAATATCCCATTTTGCATGCAGACAGTCTTAGGAAAAGTAAATTCCCTAAAGACTCATTTTAGTTTGAAACCACTGGTGAAAACCCTTAAACTTCTAATAGCTGAAGTCAGGCATTGAAATCTGCAACTCTGCACTTGAATAAACAGTCAGGTCCTGAAAAAAAATAAGATAATGCTGATACATAGATTATTTCTCCCATCACCATGAGATCTCAGTTTTTTATAACCAATATTAATATATGCCAACTTGCTTCAATTTTCAGCAAGAACAACACCCTCAAAGCACTAAAGTGCTATGGAAGCTTTTCCAAAATGTTCCAGTTAGGCCAAAATCTTATTTTCCTAGAAAAAGTATTGAGCAAAATTTACTGCAAACTCTATGACTTGAGTATCAGCAACCAACAACTTCTGTTGTCTCCACTGAAAAACAATGAAGTATTGCTGTTCAACCTACCATGAAAACCTGGAGAAGACATACTGGGTCGCTATGCAGGCATATTGTTGGGGGAAAAAATGGCAAAAAGCCAGATTTCTCGAGTTCTATTATGCACAAATGATTTTTCAAGCTTAGTTTACTTTATAGAATTAATGTAACTCACAACTAATAAAAAATTAAATTTTCTGAAAGAGATACTATCATACAAGTCCCATATGACAAAGGGAAACAGATTTTGTTGGCATAGCTCAGCTTGATAAGGCTCTTATTAGTTCATTTTAAAACATACATTTTCTCTGAAAGAATCAGAATGTATTATACCTTCAAGTTCTCTTGAATGAGAAAAGCTTACAGCAAAATGAATGAGCAGAAGTTTAGATCATATAATCTGTTATACCATTACAAAGAGTTTTACATTATGTTATAAACCAACTAGCTTCTTAAGACTAAAAAATTCTGTTTAAAGGTTTTAAAACTAACAAGAGAATAGTTTCTATTACTTTCACTCCCCAGGTGGTTAATAATATGTATCTATTAAAATGTTTTTTAAAACAGTCCATTAAATTCATTGGCCCCATATCAGCAAGGAATTAAACCACGTCTAACTTCACACACATGAGTATTCCCATTGCACTTAATGAAAGCATTCTTATGACTATGTACAATCCAAAAAATCCCTTGTTGAACCAAAAAAGATTTTTAACTCCTAAATATTCTTAAGAATTAAAGCAATGGCTTAAAAATTTCATTCTGGTGTGTTACATAATTCAGTCTGCCTTTAAAAATGAACTGACACTTTTTGGCTTTGGTGGAATATTCCTCTGTGTTTCCAAAGTGTACTTTAAAATTCTCCATGGTTTTGGTTAGCTTTGGTTTAATGCACAGACTTCTTATTTGAAAAACAGCAGTTTTCTCTCTCTTCTGATTTCTACTTTCCCTGAAAATTTTTCTTTTACTTTCAGCTGACTTTCATTGACTCTTTCACTGCTGCTATTATTATTTCTTGAACTGTACAATTATTTTGTCTATCATGATAACATGAAATATGCAAAATTACTGCATGGAATAAGCATAATAGGAAAGAAAATTATCCTTATGTAAGTTATGAGTAGGGTCATGTAAAAATACTAAAAAGACTGAGTATATTTACACTGAGATCACTCTTCTATGCATGCCTGCATCTGATTTTTACTGAAGATAAGAATTACTTCTTCTATTTTCTTGCTATATCTGAACCTTGAACACTTATGCCAGCTTAATAGTTTCAGAGGGAACAGGCAGAAAGGCCAGGTGTGCCTTTGAAGTCTTCCCTGTTTGGTGGGATATCCTTTCCCTGGCAATATGTTCTTTGCCAGATGAACAGACAGCGGTTCAAAACTCACTTTTTTTTTTTTGTTGCATTTCTCTTATCACAGACAAGAGAGATGATCACAGTATACTTTTCCCCTTTGTCTAAAAGCAGGAAAAATACCTTTACACTAAATTTAAGACACTTTTCGGAGTACAAGGAATTCTTTTGACACAGTCAAATGAGTGCAGAAAGCAGCAGTAGAACCTCCTAGTGCTAGTAACTCAGAGCTGCTTTTTCAGGAGTCCTCCGAGCTGTTGTCTCCACATGCACTGTAGCTGAACTGCAAATACTTCAGGATAAATCTATAACCTCTTCACACCTTGAATCAAGGTTAAAATATAGTGAGCAACAGAGATAATTTGCTACAAGCTTTTAGTAACACTAAACCAACTAATACATACCCTAATGTAAGACCAGTAAACAACTGAAATCTACAATAGACTCAGAACAGACTGTGGTCAAATTAATACTATAAAGTCTAAGGCTAAATAGAACATAAGTTATTTAATTAGAACAGATTATTTGTAGTACTTAAAATTACTTTTTACAGTAAATAATGCAAATATAACACCATCAGAAAAATACTATGCTTATTGTTTAAATTTTATAATTTTTAAATTAAAAACCTTATAGTTTTTAGCCAAGAAATTTCCCCCCTCTGAAAAGTTTCATTGACTTAAATTTTTCTCTACTCTCTAAGCTCTAAATTGAAAATAAGATAAACTTGTGAAAAAATTGATGTTACTTCTTCTGTCTACTACTGCTTTTATTTCAAGATTTAGAAAAGATGTAGCTATTTTCCTCTTAGAAAATATCATGTCTGTTTGTACTTACAGTGGAGTCTCGCAAACTTGTAAGAGGACTATCTAAAGAGAGCACTCCCAGGGCTGATAACACACTGCTGGATTTCCAGGAGACTGTCTCCTTTAAAGAAAGAATGGCTATGTACAAGGCTGCTGTGTCCTTTGCCCATGTAAGATATCAATGGTTTCTTACCTTCCTACCTCTTCATTTGCTTTGCACAGTGACATATCCTGCATTCTTTATTTATCCAAGCTGACTGATGGACCATTATGAGGATCAAAATTTGACATTAAATTAACAATTAAATTAACAACCCTACTTAACAAACTTATTGATGCATCAGTCTATCTCTGCTGAGAGAGATTTCTCATGCTATAAAGCTTTGGTCATCTGGAAAATTCCCTTTAACTCATTAAAGGGACTGGGCTTTTCTTTCACTGTTGCATGAGCTGCATTTATTAGGGCCACAGGCTTGTGATATATTAAGACAGCAGCTTCTGCATTATTAAATAATTACTAAATAATAAAATCATATTCAAAAGCACATTAAGTTTAGACCTATTGTTGTTCAAACTGAAGACTTTGAAATCGCTGCATTTTAAAATAGTAGCTCTATGAGACAAGGTGTACAAAAAAGTATTGTTTTGCAATAATATTATTTAAAATTGGCGTTATATAAAAGAGTAGTTAGGAAAAAAAAAAAACCTTCTTCATTTTGTTTTATGTCTCCCTCTACATGTCTATCAATAGGATTAAGTATTTTACTGAAAATTTTAAAATATTGATACCAAGTAGCACATAATGTATTTGGTTAACAGAATTTATAAACTAGTAAAATAGACCTCCTTACCACACACTGAATTATCAGTCAGGAATATCTGAAAACTGTGTCTTCAGATCTCAGCCAGGAAAACCTTCCTCAGTTCTGCAGAAACACTAAGGGTTAAAAAGTGTGTTTTTACCGTATCTTAAAATCCCAGCTAGAAGCTGCAGCTCAGACCCCCTGTATAAGGAAAGGAAAGCATTGTGGGGACTTGCTCTAATGTGAGAATGGCAATGGTCTTTGTTTACACTAAACTTTCAGCACATGGAAAGAACACCTTTTACTCACTGCAAACTAGGCCAGAGTAATTTCTGTAAATCAGGGACCATATCTGGCAAGAGAAGGACTACAATTCAGCTATCACCAGACATCATCCATATGCATGTACAGCTGTAGAAGGATTCCCAGTCTCACCCGCACTTTAGTCTTGGGAAAAGGGTTTGCATTGCCTGAAGGGACCTTCTGGGTGTATGGATAATCCAGAAACCACAAAGTGAAAACAGCCACCAGAACCCAGGTGTTTTCCAGCCCTCAAATTCCTGCCTGCTGACTTCCATATTTCCCAACTGCTTGGTATATATTTACGGGGCAGAGTCCTGCATTTCATCTGTCTAAGAAGGTCCCAATTCCCTAGACCAGCAACTGGAAACTTTGCTGAAGTTAGTACTTTCTCTCACAATGAAAAGAACTGCATGAAGCCTGACCCAATCTAGCTGTGTTGAGCACACAGGAACTATTTCATTTATACTCAGAAAAGTCTTGCAATTTCTTGCTGAAATGGATGGTTGCCTGAAAGAAGCAACTTTAAATTTGGACCCATTAAAGGGAATTACTACATTTCAATAGGGGACCCATAACTGCATTTATCTGCTCAAACTATCTCCAAATGGCTGTTAAGGTGTGCCTGAAATGTTCACTCATTATTATGTAATAAAAAGTAACAATTATTTTCAGCACTCACATATCCATGCACATATATAATCATGTAGCTAGCCTTCATCACAGGGAAAAGAAAAATCCCCTTTTTTTTATGATCTGCTTACTTACTCATATAAAAGTAGAAAATATAACTTTACTTAGTAGCTTCATGACAAATGTATTCCTAATTTTTGGGTGGGGTTTTTTCTGCATAGTGATTAATAAATTAAAATGCTGAAAGTTTCATCCAATACCATCTAAGAAGTAACACATAAAGGACAGAACTAGAACAGGAAGCCTGAGGATAAGTGCCCTCTTGTGACCTTCATTGCTGTTGTTGGGGAAGGCAGATCATCTCACAAAGGCCTGCTTGAAGCTCTCTGCATGTTTTTCAACAATACCCACTGCAAACACAGAGAGGACCAGGTGGCAACTTTGAATGCCACAGAATTCAGAAGAGACAAGTAGAAGAGGAAGCAGCAGAAGGATTGTTCTGGAAAGTGGTTGTTTCTGCCAATCAAGCAGATGGGACTTACTTCTTTTGGTGCTCAAGATTCAGGCCAAGAAAAACTTTGTCTAAATCATCAAGTGTGGCTACTGAGCAGTGGTCTGTGAACTTGCCAAAAACAGTATTCACGATTGTGATTGTCTGAGTCATTCCTGCATACTGCTGTTAACTAGTTAAAAAAAAAAAAAAGTCACAGAAATATGTTTTTAGCACAAATAGAAAACAACTGGTCTTATTTTTTCACTCCAGAGTTCACAGAAGAGCAAGTTCTGTACCGTGCCTGGTGGCCTGGCAGCAGTGAGGAAACAATTCGAGAAAGTGCAAAGGATGTCTCCAAAAAAGACTTTTGTTCAGTACCAGCACCAGCATAGATCTCTACAGGTAACAACAGCATTTTAATACTAACAAATTAGGTATGCCCTGCTAGATAACTGAGGAGAAAATATGATTGCTTGCTTCACTGACGAGTTTTCATTATGGCTAAAACAACATTTCTCTAATGTTCATACACATAGAATTTTATATTTGAGATGTATCACGGGATTAATATATTTTTTATGCTGATGAACACTCACTATAGACTAGACTCAACTAGACTTAGACTGAGTAATGCATATTGTTACTACAGCAGTATTTTACACTGAAACCTGTCTATAAGACTGATTTATACATTATCATGTGTCATGGTGATATTTTGCATTTACTGCACTTGATATTAAGTCATTCTCTTTCAAGAGGAGTTTCCTGCTTCCACTGAATTAAATCTAATAAATTTCCCTAAACAGATCAAAAATTGCACAGAAGAACCCAGACATTACATGAAAGTAGAACAAAAAGCAGCTAAGTGTGACTTCAGATAAAAGACCTTCACATTTCATTGCTTCATTAGTCTATACCATGAAAAATTGTTGTAGGAGATAATGATTTTGGACTATGTGAAATTCCTTGCAATAAAACACTGTACAATCTGTCCTGTACACTCTGAAAAACAGTAAATTTCCTTGCCATCCTGCACTTCCTGGAGAGATTTTTAAGCAATATTGTTCTCCCAGCTTTGTAGAAAAAGACGCATTAACATTTTGCCATAGGTTTAGTCTAATGTTAAATAAATATCATCATATCTACCACTCATCTCTCATTTCTTATACATTAATACCTATATCAACAATTTGCACAGACAACAAGCAAAACTTCAGTTTGTAGGGAAGAAGACAGTTTGTTGCAGGGGTATTAATGTATCTTTAAGTAAGCAGAAAAATGCCATAGTGGGACATACTAACACTGGTGCATAATCTGTGGTAATAGGAAGTGTTATGTACCTACTTTTCTGATGATATGACCCACTTTACCTGCCAGTTTTCTGGGTGAAGAAATAAAGAATCCTGTACAGAAATTACGTGAGTAATACCCAATAACTTCATGTCTGTGATGTGTAGATGCATTTTCCCAGGATATCCATCTTTCCACAAAGCCACTATAATAGCTCCATTTCTTCAGTCAAGATGTGACCTCAAAACATATTTGTCCATGTATTTTTCCTCTGTGGCTAGTTGAGGAGGCTCTGTCAAATCATCAGCAGAAATAGCCACATACACTGAAAAATGAAATCACTCAGACCATATGGAACCATCTTTAAATTTAGGTTAAATAACTTGCTGAAAGACCATAAAATCCCATTTCTATGTAACATAACTGCACTTTCATGGAAAATGGGATTATACACTTAAGTAGTTGAAAGATTATTCAAGGTCACTGAATCCATCCTGGGGCAAAACAGAGAAAACACATAGTTTAAAGACAGATGTCTAGATCTGGATAAATTCAAACTATTAATCTAAGATAAAATAAGGATGCAATTAAATTTTTAAATAATAATCTAAATAGCTGAACATTCTACTACATATTCCATTATTGTATAAGGAGTTCATGACTTTCATTCAAAATATTGTCATCAAATATGCAAATAAAAACTATTCATCTTCCCCTTTTTCTCAGGCAGCAGCCATCACTCAGCTCTCCAGATTGTACTGGCAATTGTTTCTTTGTAATAGGTGCCATTATACCAGTAGAGTTCAAAAAATTCATGCCCAAAACGGTGAGCAGCAATGAAAACTGATCACAGACTTATCCTGTGCTCAAAAACCCAACCAGAGTCTGATTAGAGACCTGGTCTGGGTTCTGACCACTGGCACCATAAGCACCTTCTAGCATCAGCCACCAGGATGAGAAGAGGGCACGAGCTTTGGTGTTACACCTGTGCAGGTGCCAGCCTGGAGTGCTTTGGTACCCAGATCAGCTACCTGACTGCTCAGACACAGCCTCAGTGCCAGTGTCAGAAAGGAGCCATGGCTGGCAAGTGAGCTGAACCTCCAGCACAGCAAAGGAGTGACATACAGAGAAAACATCTGATGTTCACTCAACCTTATAGTAAAGAATGTCAGAACTGACATGGGCATAGCTACACCTCCTTCACTGAGGGTCATTCCAGAGGAATTTCCTAAAATGGCTACTGCAGCAATTGCCAATTTTCTAGCAATTGAAGAGAATAAGACTGAATAATGGGACAATGTCAATGAATGGTGAAAACCTTATATTTTTATTAAAAACTTTCATATAGTGCCCAAGATGCCCTAAGTATATACATATAAATAAGCAAGGCTGACAAATCATAGGGAAGAAGTGTAGATAAGTGAAGTTCTTATGAGAAATTTCTGCCAGACTCTCACAGTGCAGTGAGACTCTGCTAAGAACATAAATAGGTAAAAAAAGCATTGCTTTGAGGATGAAATGAAGATCCATGGCAAATAGTCATTCCATCATCACTAACTTTGTAACTGAAGATTCAGGCTCAGAAATCAGTGGATTTACTTCCACTGCTGCTTACAAGTTTTTACATACTGTTCATTTATAGAGAACAGAAGGTTCTCTATTTGCCAATACATAAACAATATTACATTATCCAGCTAATGAGAGATTGTATGTTGATCATAATGTACAGTTCAACTAAACACATTATGCATCAATTGTAAGATAGCAGAAGTCTTTCTTGTGCTTGGATGAACTTCTGAGCCATTTGATCCCCTTGAAACACATACTTCCATAGACAGAGAACTGTATACACATTTTATGCATGTATACATATAATTGTAGTGTACATATTCTGAGCTGAAAAACAATTCTATTTTTGAAAGAGAAAGTATGTTTTGTTTGTTATTAGAACAGAAGGAAACTAAAAATGTCAACACAAAAAAGCAAACTTTGGTCTAAATTACACAGAACAATTACTGATAATTCAAATCTTGGCACATTTTCAATAAGAATTCTATCTAAATTATTGCAGTACAAAAGCACTAAAGTTTTTGTATGGGCCACAAACATAAAATGTGTGTAGCAATTACAGTTCTCTTCAGTAAAAGAATCTGAATGCTTACATAAAAAGAACACTTCTCTAACAAAACTTATACAGACTTACTCTTGGACTTACATGTTTATTTTTAAATAGCATTGTTTTAGGTCAGAATGACCTATTACCCAGAGACAAAACAGTACACTCTAGTCCTCTGTGTTAAACACCATACAGACATGCCCAGCAGCCCACACAAAGGGTGACAGCAAACAAATGTGAGAGACAGGATAAAGAAGGATAAAGAAGTCTGAAAGAAAATGTAAAAATTTTACAAAACCATTCACAAGAGAGCAGCATGCCAACAATCACCCAGCTGACAGTGTTTTCTGAACCCTTCTCATGATATGCCATAAACAAAATGTAATTGACCAATTTTATAGACTATACTACAAAGTCTAAGGGATCTACAAAACATGTCACAAACCATAATGGGGTAGACTAAATTAATTGTACCTACAGTAATCCTGTATACAACAGCTGGCAGTTATAGAGGAGGGATGAAACCAAAGGTCTTCTAACTAGCCACTTGTTTGGAGTAATAAACAAGCAGCATTTAACAACCTGTTACTGGAATTTCAATTAGCCATTTTGACTGACACACAAAATAAGAGATCCTCCATGTCCCTCTTCCTCCCAGCACTCCCAGAGCAAGGCTGTGTAATTATGTCATCAAAATCTGGCTCATAATGTTTGGGCTGCATTTTAGATGGCCTATAGCTATAGCATTAAATTATTATGGTCTTTTGCAATATGGCAACTACTTCATAAGCAGTACCAAAGTTACAGCATAAAGCACTAGTGACATTCAGATTAGATTTGCTTCCTGACTACATTAAGTCTAATTATATTTCTTTTTACTACCCCTCACCATTCAAAGGACACATGATGAGTATTCTGAATATATTTCATGTCTCATGAATGAGCTTTTCCAGTAATGAGAGTTTGAATTACATATCTAAAACATGCACATTAGAACAGAAAAGCATATCTTAAATGAAAAAAGCATATATATGCATAAATATATTAAAAAGCACAGCTATATAGAAGGAAAAGGCATATTAGACGCACACCTACACAGTCATTAAACAGAGAATAGATGGAAAAATTTGCACTTCATTCTTTTTGAACTGCCTCTTTTCAACCTGGTATGTGGTTAGCTCTACATCTCCTCAAACGTTCCTCACAACTGTTATGTACACAGAACCTGCAAGTACAAAACAGGACATCCTGTAAAAGCAGGACAAAAATGCTGTAAACTGCTCTTCTCAAGCCTCAATGCACTCTGACAATTCAGGTAGGATTGATTTTGATACTGGTAATGCACTAAATCGTTTACTGGGCCAGGAATAAGAAAATTTATTCCACCTTTTGTTAGTACAGTTTTAATTCATCTTATAGCTGAAACAGGACTTGGCAGCACAGAGGTGGAAAAGAATTCCTAAAGCCCATGGAAGGAATGCTCGGTGTTTCTCTGTCATAGATCTGAGAACCCTTGCTCCCTACTGCATGGCCAGGCAGTAGATGACCACTATACTGATTCAACAGAAATATTAGTGGAGATGCAAGCAGTGTAAGCATTCCTTAGTTTGAAGGTGGAATAAATCCCATAAATACATGCTTTCTCATGGCATGACTAACAGAAAGAACTAATTTCTTGCCCCACAGTTAACTGAATTTCAAGTAGCAGTCAGGACTTGAGATGCAGGAAGCTTACAGCTCTATGTTGCACTAGAGCAGCAATCTCAGAAAGACAGTAGTGCCTCCATTCATATTCAGGTTTCACTGAACACTCAGGAAGCTCTTGCTGGAGGGACCAGAAGCTCCTTCCATTTGAAAACTTATTATCAGTAGAAACTAATAGACAAGCTTCCTTCTAACAAAGGATGAAGAAAATATAATTTGACATGAGTGAAATTATTTGTTAGATGGCTCTGTGTGCATGGGAGAGGAAGCACAGGAGTGCTGCCTTAATAATTTCAATCTTTCAGATTTATATCTTCTAATCACAAAGTCTCAAAGTACCTCATGGACACTGGTAATGATGTAATACAGGTTCGATGGCAGGCTTCAAATAAGAAAACAAATCACTGTCAGAATCTGAAGCCAAGCCAAACACAGACAGACTGAGAAATCAGTTTACACAGACATCTTGGACAGTGCTTTAAACTCCTGAAGATACACTCTGATTATTACACTGCAGTTTTCTGGCCTGTAGTTACAGTACTACCCTGCATATTTTATGGGATCTTGTGGCTATTCTGTGGGTCATATTTTTCACAATTGTAATTCAGCATGATTTTTGCACTGGAAGAACTTTATAAAGAATATGTAGAGAATCATCACCTCATACAGACATATTACACTTCCTTTCAAAAAAATGCATTACGCAGCGTTATGCCCACTGCCACCCAACAAGTTGGAGGCACAGCACATAAAGCCAGAACAAGTCCTCCTTGTCACATCTGCCCCCTTCCAGTCCAGTCATGCATTGTATCTACTCATGCAGCTGGCCATATCTGCTGGCAAGCATCTTGCTGCAGTAACAAAGACTTGACATCTTCTGTGTTGTAAAAAAGCCGGTTCCAATGTTGATAGCAATAAATATCAAAGATAATAACAATGGCACCCTGCTGTGAAATGGCTGCTCTAGTTATACCACTTACATTAGAATTAATTTCTGACAGCCCTTCAGGCAAAAAAAAAATAAATCTGATTTACTAATAGCTGTTAACGTGAATTTTTTTGTTTTGTCTCAAGGAAACATCAAGTATCAGGCACCACACAGTATCAAGTAGCACCAGGGAAGCTGAATGCAATGAAATGACCTCTAAAGAAAGCCAAACACAAGCCTCTCAAACAAAAGAGGTAACTATATAATTTAATAATAATCTCATTGCACACTTATTGATGTTTATCATGATAATTTTTAGATTTACATTCATATTTTTCATCTATGTAATATTTTAAATATGGTTTCAGAAGTATTTAAAATTCTTATGCATTGCACTAAATCATGACTAAAGTGAAGGTTTTGTGCACAGGTTTCTCCTCATGAGCAAGTTACCCATGAAAAGAAAATGGCATCTACATTCACTCAGCATGACACAGGTAAGAAGTGACATGAGAATAATCACAAATGAGCAGTGGGAAATATCTTTACACCCACAAACGTGCTGTTCTTGGCATACAAACATGAAAACACACACTGTTCCAAATTCTCAGCAATGCACATTCCTTAACTTCAACAGGACTTTAGAATTCAGTATGAAGAGATTATGTTTGCATAAGGATGTGGTTTTAAATATGGTCTGAGTTGCTTGAAAGAATGGGGAACTCGACAACTTGTCTGAAAATACAGGCAAACACTAGTCCATCTACGTACAAAGCAGTGCATGGTTAAGGTTCAGTTTGTAGCTGAACTGAATAACTCTGCAGAATATGATCACAGTGTTAAGACACTGCTGCTTCTGCAATTCAGCCCTTGAATGAGAATTCATGCATTACATTCTCCCACAGACCTCAGTCACCCTTTGGCCCTGCCACACCACTCGGGTAAGGCAAAACAGTAGTCCTTAAAAAATGATTCTGTCATTTTCTCTACAGATTTCTGTACTGATCAAGTAACTCTCCTGACTTCTACAAGGCTAAATACAATTTTCCCAAGATAATAGTGTTTTATAATTCACTGATAAAGTCAATTTCAAAAAATGCAGGTTGGAGGAAAACCAATCTGTTTTATTCTTCTTCCCATTGCAGTAATCAATTCAGCTCAGAATGTAGAGCTCCCAAAGACTGTAACACAGATTTTAAAAGAACAGATTGAGAAGGCAGCTCAGGAAAAGGCTGCTCACTCTGACAGAGAGATCACAACATCTGCTAAAGAAGTAAAGGTGAGTATTTTTGATGAGGGATCTTTCCTTATGCAAATTAGAAGTTAAGACACTGATATACCATGCTGTCTGATTTTCTATACTGAATAATTTTGATTTAAAATGTAAGATATGGAAGTGGTGGGAATATATGGACTTCAGGAATTAAATGCACATAATGTAATACGATATTCATTAGAAGGCTCTATAAGTACTTACAGTATGTGACAAAAACAATTCAAGGTAACAACTTCTGCATTTTCTCCTCCTCTGCTGAATAGTCTCCTCTTTACTTGTTTTTATCTATAAGTATGTATAATTTGTCACCAAAGACTCTCAGAAGCCTGGAAAATACTGCTTTCAAAAGAAATGAAAATGAGCATAAGCTACAGCTAAAGTTTGTTATGCTTACAATGCAAAGTCTGCATTTGTTGCAGCAAAATCTCCAAGACTGCTCATTCTTTTTGCATGAATTTCACATTTCTTTTCACATATATTCTATGGTGCAAATATCACAGCTCTTAGCTCGAAAGATTGGTTTTATGCATTCTGAGCAATAGCTGATAGATTGTGTCTTTCCAGATCTTATTATAATCCTATTGCTTGGATGCTTGCAGAACTAGCTTTTGTGCAGAATAGAAAAATCGTTTTCTATATTACTATGCTTAAGAAAAGAAGGGGAAAAAAAAGAAAAAACAACCATAAACTACAGACAACCCAACACTTTTGTCTCCTAAAGATGGAAAATACATACCAGGAAATCACATTGACTTAAACAGTTCATCTGCTACTGCTACAACTTCAGCAAGCTGACTACAGGAAATTTCTACACCAAGGAAAAAACAGGATGAAACTTTTACCTCTGCAATTATTTGCTCCTGATACATGGAAGCACAGGAGAACTTCCCAATACTTATGCAAAAGCTCCAAAGGAAATGTCAGTATAATCTAAGTTCACTAGACCAAACAGCTCTCCAACAGAGTCCACTGTGTCCACCGATCTGTACCCAAAGCAATTTATTTTGAACTAAGACATTTATATAATTGTTGACACCCAATATTAAGAAAACACTTTAAAAACATTTTCTAATATTTTATGTCATGGATCTGAAACATATTATTTTAGATGTGCAGCAGACTAGAAATGGCTTTGCCTTCATCATTCAGATGTTCACAAGGCCAGAAAAACTAATGCTTTAGTGGCATGAAATCCAGAGAGGAGAGGTCCTCTCTCTGACAAGTCTGTGAGAACCAGCTTTTTGTTCCATTTAAAGATGATCCTCCAGACCCAGATAAAGCTAGAAGTACTACAGAGAAAGAACCATTGCAGGGAGAAATGTTAAAATAGACAGCCTGAATGTTTCAGATGCAGTCTCCAGGCATGCTGCAATGCACATGCTCCAGGCTCTGTAGGAAACTATGGACAATGTCCTTATATTAGGTAGAGGAGGTGTTGGTGCAGGTAGGTGGATGTCTGAAATGCAGCCACTAAACTATATGAATAAAAATCACCCCAGTGAGGAACAAGCATCAGCTGAAACACACACCTAAGAAGTTTCTAATGGTGCTGTAAAGACTCTGAGGTACATGGTGGAAACACAGAACCTGGATAAACTTGAGCAACTCAACCCAGTTATTGCCCTTAACTTGTTGCAGACAAGGCCTGAGCCGAAAGAGAAGCTGAGCTCTTCACAGAAGAGTGAAGTATAATGCATTTTGAACCTCAGCCATTGTGTGTTACCAGAGACAGCTTCAAAGACGGGAGAATGAAGCTGTCTGTGGATACAACACTGAAAAGAGATATTACACAATAACACACCAGATGAATGCAGCTTTTACCTGTGAAAATAAAACTCCTATGTATAATCTCAGTGGAGGAAAACATAAGCGGTGCTACACTCATGGCAAAAAGCTGAAATACAGCCTTGGCCCATGCAGGATCCAAAGGAATAAAGTCCAGCTGAAACATCCATTATAAAAATCAGACAAGTAAGATCAAGGTCCAACAAGAGATACAGCAACTCCTGTAACACTAAAGCAAAGCACAGTTTCCAATTCTGAATTGGATGGCAACAATACCCAAGTAATAGAAAAATAAGATGTAGGAACTCAAAAAGATAGATTTCCCTGAAGTCCAGAAGACTGAGAAGCTGAAGATGCATAAATTTAGGATTAGCACTAAGAGGTCTATCCTGAAGAATTACAAAACAAAAGCAAAACAAAAATGATACTAAAAATAGATATTACAATTAAAATTGCATTACTGTTGTATTTGAAATACATTAACATGCTAGAAAATGTGCACAGAATGCACCTGGCTTTTAATGTTTAAAATTAATGCAACATCCTCTAAACTGAGGTAAAATGTTGTATAAAATATCTGTAGAGACAAAATAATGCTCATGTTTTGCACACATCCATTTTTAGTTTAGTAAAATACAAGATGTGACTTTAGACAAAATGAACTATGTTTCAGTGGGTTTTCTATTTGAGTAAAATTACTGAAATGGTTTACAAATTACTATGCAATTTTTTTTAAAAAAAACCTGCTATTTCCTGCTGGGTGATTTAACCTGTTCATAAAGCTTCAGTATGGTTTAGGCAATGAAACGAGATGTCAGTGTCCTGGCTTCACATCACTAAGGAGTGAAGCTGCTCACTGTGTCCTTCAAAGAGCTGAAACCCATTATTTGTTTCATATTGAACAAAACTTTTAACTATTTGATGTGAAAATATATCTATATATTTATAATTGAATATGAAGTAAACATGGAAAATTAAGCATGACTTCTTCCTCATGGTGAATGTTTTACTTGAAAATTATATTAAAATAGCATTTAGATTGCAAGGTTATGCATTTGAAATGTAGAAAATATTACATATGCTCCTGAAAGATGAACATCAGTGTCCTCTTTTTTGCATCTATTTTGGACACTGAATATGGATGGGATCCTGCAGGAAGACCAGATGTTGCCATAGCTTTAGCCATTTGATACATGAACTGAATGCTTACACTTGAGCAGAGGAAACGGCAGAACAAAGCTAAACGCTCCTGTTCCAGCATAACTCCTGAGCAGAAAGCTTTGCTTTGGGACTCCCAGCACTGTGCACCAAGAGAGGGGTGCTACCCCTCCTAATCACACTAGGAGCAGAATTAAACATGAGTAGATTGTGATCCTGTAAAATGAGGCACAGCCTAGTGGTGATCCAACAAAATACTTTATGTGGTGGTTTGGCTCTCCCTGACAGCTAAGTCCACACCCACTCACTCCACAGTGGGCTGTGAGAAACAATCAGGAGAGCAAGAGAGCCTGTTGGCAGAGGAAGAGACAGGTTAATAGAGAAAGCAAAGCTGGGGCATGAACAAAGCAAAAGAAGGAATTGATGTCTAGTCACTTCCTGGAAAGCAAGGCCTCAACATGCTCAACTGTGACTTGGAAAGAGAAACACTCTGAATGTACCTCTTCCTCCTCCTTTCCCTCCCTCAGTTTCTATTGCTAAGCATGATGCCATATGCTATGGAATATCCCTCTGGTCAGCTGGGGTCAGCTCTCTCAAGTTCTTGCATATCCCCAGTCTATCTGCTTGGACTGGGCAGGAGGGCAGAGTGGGAGGAAGAAGAGATTTTCACACTGGGCAAGTACTGTTCAGCAGTAGCCAAAACATTGTGTGTTATCAGCACCCGAGCCCAAATTCAAAACAGCATCGCATGGGCTGCTATGAAGAAAATAACTGCATCCCAAACAGCCTTAGCAAAAGGAAGCATGTTAAAAGTGAGTAGAAATATCCAGTTACAGTAGAATAGGGAGTTCTCTAAAAGTCAAACCTCTGGATTTTGTTTTTAATCTCTTTCTATCTGGTAAATATTGATGACCTCAAATAACAGACCAGTCTTTTCCTCACTGATTTTGTATTCACACTGATTTTGTATTCACATGTGGTGGGTGAATACAAAACTGTATTCACCCACTGTCCCATTCCCCCCCCTCAACAAGGTATGGAGAAAAAATAGGATGAAGAAGCTCATGGGATAATATAAAGACAGGGAACAATATAAGAAAACCTATTCATTACTTTTACAATTTAAAATAATTACTTATTTTTTATGGGAAAAAATAATTGCTAATTAAGATAGGTTTAGATTATGAGAAATAAACACTACAACATCTCCCCTCCTTCCCTCCTTTTCATAGTCTCAGCTTTACTCCTGCCTCTTCCTCATCCCTCTCCCACCCCCAGTAGCACAGAGTGGGTGGGGGGAATGGGTGCTGAGGTTAGTCCATACCAGTTCCTTGCTGCTGCTCCTTCCTTCTCACACTTCTCTCCCTTGCTTCACCATGAGCTCTCCATATGCCATAGCTCCTTCTGGGAATACCCACCTGCTCCACCGTGGTGTTCCCCAGGGGATGCGGTGTGCACGGCTGCTCCTGCGTGGTCCTCTCCCCAGGCCGCAGGGAAACACCTGCTGCCCTGCTCTCCTCCACAGGCTGCAGGGGAATCTCTGTTGCAGCATCTCCTCCCGTAATTCTCTGACCTTGTTATTCGCAGGGCTGTTTCTCACACTTTTTTTCCCTCAGTCCTGGCTGTATGTGCAGCTTTTTGCCCTCTTTGAACACGTTTTCCAGAGACATGAGGAGCGTGGCTCAGGAGCCCCGCCATGCACTGCATCCAGAGCTGGTTGTGCCCAGCACGGGCCAGGCCCTGCCGCTCCTCACAGAGGCTGTCCCCAGCCACCAAAACTGTGCCACTGACACACAACACACGATTCAATTTCAAGGAGATGAATATTGCCTCATTAAGTCCTGGAACTTGTTATGGGATAAATTTCCCTTAAATTCCCTCTTATCCTTCCTCTTCTCTTGACTTGCCTTCTGAGGCACAACACTTACTACCAATTGTTCAGCTAAGCAATGTAACCATTCAATGAGACAGTTTTCCAGGATACATCACCACTTTTCCCCCTCCTAATTACCTTATCTCCTTCCTCTCCTCCCTCTCTACATTCAGAATACTTGTAAAGCTAAGAATATTCAGCTGAGTCCTGGTGCTTGGCTCACAAGCAGTCCATGCATTGGGAGTGGGAGGCATGTCTGGAGAACTGAATTTATGCCACCAGGCCTCTCTCTCAGCCTCCTTGGTGTCTAAGCAGAGTCTACATTTTAGACCTTACAATTCATGACCAACAATTCTATTAGAGTGGGTTTTTTTTACTGGTGGTTTAGTCTATTTGCAAGTTCTACTTTATATTAAAGACATTTAACTTTCAGTATTTTTCACAGCCTTCATTATGGATAGTAGAGAGACATGGCAACTAAAGCTGTAACTATAAAATCTACATCACTTTTTGTCTTGATTTGTGAACTGTTATAAAATCAACACAAGCAGGCAAACCAACAGACAGAATGCTGAAAGGGCCCAAATTTTCTGCTGATGTCAAGAGGCATTACTATCATCAGTGAAAATACATTCATACTGCAATTATTTGGTCCATCCTTTTTGTATTTGTCTGCTAATACAATTTTCATAGCAATTCAGAGATCAAGACAGAAGAGCAGCTGGCATTTTTCCAAGCCCATCACCATTCTTCTGCCCCTTACTGGTATGAATCTTCCTATTCATGTTTTGTATTTTATAGAGAAATAGTTTTCTTTAAAATTAAATATGCTTCACAGAAGAAAAGGATTTTATAAAGTTGTTAATGTGAATGTATCTACCTTAGTATTAAAATTCAACCGAAGAAACTATGAGGTCTGACACCTTAAATTATCAAAGTCACAAATAATTATGTCCATAGCATATTTGGTCCATATGAATGCACAGACTGGAGGTTACCACAAAAGGGGTAACCCCTACTGTGCATTTGGTATGGCTGAGCAAGAATTCCTCATCAGAATTTCAAACATCCATCCCTACTTATTGATATTTAAATTACATTGTACATTCAAAGATTATACATACATTATACTCAATTCCACTTGTACTAGAAAAACTTTTATTATCCTACCACATTTCACAAAATAATTGGTTATTGCAAATAAATGGAAGATAATGTACCTGGTGAAGTGAATAGTCCTTTCAAATGCATGGATTCCTGCAAAGGGAAAGGTAAGCAGTTTTTAACTTTTGAAGTATTACTGTTAGCTGGACAAAAAGGAAGCCCTACAATAAACAGCTGAGATACCAGTTAACAGAAAATGGAAAATGTTCTAACAAAATATGTGGACTGATACTGTTCAAATCAAATCATAACATGTCACTTAGACTAATTTGTAACCTTTTAATATGTGGTTGTAGAAACTGCAGATTCAGGAAAATGAAACATGCAAACTCTGTCAACAGAGAGTTTACCCCATGGAATGCCTAGTTGCTGATAAGCAAAATTTTCATAAATCGTGTTTCCGATGTCACCACTGCAGCAGTCAATTAAGGTAAGAAGTAACTGCACATGCACTCACACAACCCTGCTTTGGAATATAAATTAAAAAAGATGGTGAAATTATTTTCAGCTGTAGGATTATTCAGCCTGTAGGATGCCGTGTTGACAGGGTGGTATTCTGAGTTCTCCTTTTCTTCTCTGTTCCAAACATCAGCACTGTGACATGGAACGAGTCCCTAAAATTCCTTATAAAACTGCTCCATGGCAGTACCTTCCAAAGTCTTCCCCATATTACTTCTTCCTGACTGTTGCAGACCTTCAGGACAGCATGAAACAGACACAGTAGACACAGGAATTCGGGTGGAATTTAAGACATCTGAAGATCACCAAATTTTCTCTCAATTTTCCTCATTCATAAAATGAACTATGATAGTTCTCTGCATTAGCAAATAATTTTGTAACCTTTACATAAAATGTACAATTTATTGTACTGACTGCAAAGGAATTTTGATTTTAACACACTCTGGTGTTAGTTATACATTGAATGAATGAAAATTTCCTTTACTTCATCTGAGAGGAGAATCCAAATATAATCAAACATAAATTTCTATCATTTGCACAAAGACTAAATTCTGCTGCTACTTCGTAGAAAAACTGAGGATTAAGATTTTCATAAGATGAAGAAAAATGGTCCAAAAAGCCCAGAAGTGCTGTGGAACATTTCTATTTGACGCTTATTCTGTGCAACAACTGAATGGGTTTATGTTCTTTCATAAATCACTAAGCATGACTATTTGCCTTTATTTTGACTTTGAAATTGTATGGGAACTTCCAAGTAAAGATTTTAGATACTTATTTTTTAGGGGGGGTTGGGGGGAAAGGGGGAGAAAGGGGAAGGTGTATGGTAATCTATCATATATAAAAGTATAAAACAATTTTTTTTCCATTTGGCAGCTTGGGAAATTACGCATCTCTCCATGGAAAAATATATTGTAAACCCCATTTTAAGCAACTTTTCAAATCAAAAGGAAATTATGATGAAGGTTTTGGACACAAGCAGCATAAGGAATTATGGAATTCTAAAGATCAACTTAGTTCAATTAAAAATAATCAGGCTGAAGAAACAAATCCCATTAATAGTGCACCTGTTGATCCTAAACCAATTACAGAAGTAGATAAAGACTTGTACTCAGGTACTGAAGGTGCACGTCCTGATATTTTGGATAATAATTTGAAAAAATCCACAGAAAGAGGTAAATTAAAAATGATATGGCCCCCTTCAACAGATGATGCAACACCTAAGAAAACATTTTCTATTGAAGAATCAGCTAAAGTAAATAAGTCAAAGTGGCCCCCAGAAGATTTTCCTCAAGAAGATTCTAGTTTACATAGAAATAAATCTCTGGGCAACAAAAAGGAATCTCAGAAAAATCCCACTGTGATGGAGCAAAATAAAAACAACACCACAAATTCACAACAAAATCAACACTCATCCTTTTGCTCTCTGTCTGAGAAAGAAGGTAAAAATACCTGTAAAGCAAAGAAAAATGAAGCAGGCAATAAGGGGAAGGATGGGGAAGCAGGGAATGTGCAAGATAAGGTGAATAAACTAGAAGCATTAGAGAGTAGGGAGCAAAGTGGAAAGGATATTAATGAGGGTGATAATGTAATTGTGGATAGTCCTGGGAAGAAGCAAGAAAAACAAATAAATGAAACTGATAATTCAGAAGTTGTACAAGTCACTAACATTGATGATGTAACAGTACAAAAGAATTACAAAGAATGCAGCTTGAATAGCAATAACAATAATAATTATGCCACTTTTTCCACATCAAAATATTTCTACACAAAAAACAACTCTCTCAGCTATGTCTACCCCAAAGCCAGCATTAAGCCATGCTATTTGCACTGAATCACAGCATGCCTTTGCAAAACTGGACAGTCAGTCTGGAAATGAAGAAATATACGTGATATATGAACCTCAGGAGAGCTGTTCTAGTAATACTGTACTTGCACAGGATGAACCGAACTCAAAAGATGAAGATGCTGTTACTTCTAAGAGTCTTGCTCAATTTAATAATGATGCCACTTGTAAGAAGTCTCATACTAGCAGCATGTTAGTTTTGAAGAAGGCAACTAACACATTCTCTGTTGATACTGAGTTGTTATGCATTGGAGAAGAATCAGAATATTACAAAAATGACAAAAAGCTAAATAGTATTTTATCTGACATTCTGAAGAAATATTTTCTTAAAAAAGACAACCTGGTTTTAAACTGTAAACTAATAGACTCTATAGATGTAAGTAAAAAATCCTGCAGTCCATATCTGAAAGAACATGGAAATTATGGTAGAGAACTGAATTATATTAACGCTTGTCAAGAAAGTGAAATAATCCAATTGGCAAAGACTGACATAAGTACAAGCTTAGATTTACTGAGCTCAAGACATACTGCTGTTTCATCATTCCAAGGCAAGAAAGTCACGTTCAAATGGCTCACTGCAGATGAACAAATTAAAAAAAGTAGATTTTATGATGAAAATTAATAAAACATCCAAGTTGTCGGCTATGTCTGTCACTCATTACAAAGTATTTCTTCAGTCTACTTATTTTAGTCTTTCATGGAGAATTTAATATCCAGAGATGACATAAAAAAATACAATTATACTGTCAATTACCCAGACTTTATCCAGTTAGTTTATATTTAAGGCAATGAAGATGTAGATTTTTTTCCATCTGTAATTATAAAACAGCCTTTGTTTTTCTATATTTCTGAACATTACAAGGAATATTTTACTACACTATCCTGGAGAAACATAATCCATTTCAATATTTATTATTTGTAACAACTTCAGATGTGAAGCACCTGGTGTGCACAATGGAAGAAAAAATACTTCCATTGTTTTTTCTAATGTATTTTTACTGTAACTGAGCTGTTGCTCCATGACATATTATGTACACTGGTTGTGTTAGCTCATGCTAGAAAATCTGGGGTTTGGCTGAGATTTTGGGGGGGTTAATCTTTTTTGTTTCTGTTTTTGAAATATCATGTAATACTTAGTTTGAAATGGATCATTACTGAATAGTAACCACAGCTGGTTGGTGAATAGCACTGTTTTGCTATATTCTGAGAGCTGCTACTAAGTTATGTTGAGTAATGGGAGAAAAAAAGTGTGTAAGTTTTAACACTGGATAAAAAAAAAATATCCTAAATAGAACTGAAAGAGTGTTTGGGGACACTGGGCAATGAAGACTAGTGGTTGTGTCAGTAACTAATTCAAAGTCATTTGAGCTGAAGCAGCTCTCCAGTGTCATATTTAAACCTGTACAAATTTATGCAAACTCTAGCCCTTTTTTACTTAAGACCTATGCTTATGGATTAATGTTTGCTCACCTAACACTATTCTATCTTGTATGATACAGCAACATATCATTTAACTGTTGACAATGCATAATAAAAAAGCACTTTACAAAAAAAATATTTTGTGATTTTTTTTTTAATATGAATTTATAAGTACTGTTTTCATTAAATAGTTTGTGAAATTCTTCATGCAATGACTAGTTTAAACCAAAGTGTCAGAGAGAAAGGGAATCATAATCAAAATGCATTTTTCAGAATAGTTCCTGAAGGGAAAAATTGCACTGATGAGTAGCAGTAAAATGAAACTTTTCTACATCATTATTTAGTACAGGAGCCTGTTAGTCTGAGAAATATATTTTCACTGGCTATTATTGGCTAGTGAAGATGTTCTACTGCTTTTAGAACACAGGGCTCATGTATTCTTCTATACTGAAAAGCACCAATTACAGAGATTAAAGAGCCTGATTTAATGGCTGGGCCAGAACTGCATTTTAGAGGACTTCTAAATTTGCAGTCTATTTGAAACTTCATTAATTGCAATTCATTAATTGGCACAAAAGCTTACTTAGAGTTACTTAAATTGTTTTTATAGGTGTGGCATATCCACTAATTCCTTTAGAGCCTTTCTAGAGTCAGGGGCAATCTCAAAACTCTCTGAAGAGACCTAAATAACACCTTGACTATAGAGCAGAAGTGCACTCCTCCTAAGTGAAGTACTTGCTGAATGCAAATGCTGGATTACTTTGAAAAGTTTAAATACCTTGTCTGTCTTCTGTTAAGCATTTACCTCCTTCATACATATCAGCAGGCAGACCTACACTAGTTATTTTAAATGACACAGCGCTCAGGGTGGACAATAAAACCATGCTAAGGATCTGCTTTGTTCTAATGCAACATGTCTTGAAATATCCCTCCCATAAATAATTATAGTTCAGGCCTTATTTTCAAAGTGCAGGATAATTATCAGAATTACTTATAAAAGATTTGGGTTGCTTCAGTCAAGTATACCTCCAACTGGTAGGTATAATTGCAAAAACATTAACTACCCTGGGTACACTCGCAAAAACAGGAAAACATGAAGACAAAAACACAGATTAAAGCTTTTGTCTCTTTTCATGCTTTCATCCATTAAGAGGAACCTAAGTTAAATCCTTTGGGTAAATTTTATTGCCTTTCATGAACAGCATTTTACCTTGTATGTGGGTTACATTTGATGATTTTGACATGCAAAGCATTTTTAAATGTTTTAAAGAGAAGATCTGTATTGAATTTGGCTTAGAAATATAAACAAACTGACCTTACTCTTGGGCTTTCTAAAGTAGTAAATTACAATTCAGCCATGAAAGATTTGAATTTTTCAGTACAGTCTTTAAAGAAAAAAATAAGGCAGCTCTGTACTGTACTACTTTGGGAAAAGAGGATAAAAATTCCTGTTCCACATTGCTCCCTCACCTCCCCTCTCTTAGGTTAGGGTATGAGGAAGGAAAAAAAAAGACTAAGGTCTTCTTAAATTCTTAAAAAGAAAGAATAATGTCTATTAAAAATAAAATTTATTTTTAATCTGACTTTCATTAACTAAGTACATTGTCATTTTAAAAAGAGACATGAAAGATCTACTACACATTTCAGCAGGTGATTTTCAAAATCACATAATCTGTTCAAATAATAAAAAAGAAAACCTAGGAAAATCTCATATTGTTTCAACTCATTTTACCTGTAGGCTCTTGACACTGTAGCTATCACTATCAGTATACATATAAAATTACTCTTAGACTGATGAAATGATACCTGTAACAGATGCTGATAAGGAATAATGTCCTATCACAACAAACACCTATGAAGGAGCCATTCCTTCCCCACAGAAACTGTATATTCCAAGTCAAAAAACAGGCTGTTTCTCCAGTCAACTCACTGGAGAAAAAAGTTGACCAAACACAAAATTTCATGATCAAGAAGTCATCTCTCAACAAAAATAGAGATGAATTTTCAGTAAACAAGATGAAATAGTTAAAAACTTTAAAGGGGAATGAAGGTATAGCTGTACCAAGAGGGGATGGAACACTAAACAATGTATTTCAATATAGTGCTTGATAAATTAGATTGTCAACCTAATTGCAATACTGGTGCACATATGATAATAAAAATAAAAACCAATATATATGAAATATCCTCTTACCACTTAAAACATGCTTCCAGTTTCTCTCTGTAATCACAAATAAGACCTCTACAGGACATTAGATAAAAGGAAGAAATTGATAGCTATAAAGTCAGCTTATGCAGATGGACACAGAAAAAAGATTCTGCCGTTCCAATCTTAAGAGCTTTTGTACAGCTTTTCATAAAGCAACATTAGAGTGGAAATAGCACATAAACAGTGTCATACACTGTTCTAAACAGTGTTTAGAATATCTTTATTATCTCCAATAAACTGGTTTTCTGCTTTGGTAGGACAGTACTGCTATACTGAAGGTTACAGATTGGGTCTGGGTGGCTTTGACTGAGGAAACCATTTTGCCAGCAGTGGTTCTTACGTGCCCAGAGAGAAGGTAATGAAAAGCTGCATTACCAGGCACTGGCAGCAATCCATGCCGACAGCATGCCATAAACCAGCAACAGCATGCACTCAGCTTCTTGGGCCAGAATAGGAAGCCTAAACTGTTAAGCCTGAGGTAGTATTTTTAATAATTCAATAAATCAAAATATTAAATAATTGTGCAAGTAGCAGGATTCATCCCTTCTGTGTTCTGAACAAGAACAAGAGTCCCAAGAAAAACACTGTGTGATCACAAAATTAAAACTATACCAGATAGCTTTTGAGTTCAGGCATTCGCATTTTCAGATCTAATAATCTTTTAATGTATTACATGAGTATCATGTCTGTAAGCATATAAATATATAGATACTCATGTATACATAAGTAGAATCACAAGCAATCAGCAAATTACTGTAACATTGGCTGTGTATATATAGAACTAGGAAGCTCAGTGCCACTGAACTGCTTCATAATATGGTGGTTTCACTGTTTTCCCCTTTCTCTATCATATATTCTGTGCTTCCTTTAGTTGCCCTCCTACTACCATTACAAGCTCCTTGGGACTAAGACTTTAGACAAGTTTTTTCTTCCAGATGATAAGAAAAAGCACACGGCCAAATATTCCTGATGCAGTTCTTTTATCTATGAATAAATTTTAGTACCAATATCCTCAGTCCCTTAGTGGGCAGACATCCTTATCTATGAGGATGCCACTCCAGCAACAGAAACATGTGAGTAATTTTTCTTAAAATGGTCTTCAGTGAAAATAAGGGTAACACAAACTCTCCTGTGTGTCAATCATAAAATAGTTCCAGTGATGACAATTCCAAGCTTTGCAGTATTAGTATGAGGGAACATGACACCTGTATTCTGCCAGCTGTGTAATTCAAGAAAATGGAAATTAAGGGCCAGTCACATTCCACTACTGGTCACATCCTCTTGCTGATAAGCAATCAGATGACACAGAACCAAGCTCTCTGGTTTATGAGCAGCAATTGCCAAATCATCCTCCAGGAGGATGAAAAATTGAAAAAAAATTAAATTGAATGCAATATTATAAAATAAGTGAAAACATTAATCATAATTAAACAGAACCACATTGATTTTTGCCAGCTGGATTCAGCCACAGACTGTGATGGGAACGTTCTTCTCTCTTGGTTAACCCTGCTGAGAGACAGATTAATTCTTTATAATTAACTTCTTAGGTAATAGTGCAAATATTTGTCAAAATAGTTGATCCACCACAAAATTAACTATGGGGTGGGGAACAGTGAAAATTCTAATATATTTAAAACAAAGATAAAAATACCCAAACTGACTGGATCAATGTGGGGGAGGTAGGGGAAGGAAAAAAATGTTCTTTATATGAACAGGTCACTCATGCAAAGCAGAATTACTTGGATGTGAAAAATGGTCCTCCGCCCATCCATTCCTTTGCACAAAAGGCCTATCTTACATCGCTGTTCAAGGCAGTTGCAATTAAATATATATTTATAGAATCTTTAAATACTTCTAAGTATATTCATTATGTTCACAGTGACATTGCTCTGAAGGACACTACGATATAAATGGAAGCTCTGCTTACAAGTGATCACTGCAGATATACAAATATCTTGAAGGACTCACTCTGCACACAAAGGAAGTCGCCTTGCTTTGTTTATGGGGA